ACGCGGTTATGCGAGATTTTGTCTCTGGTACTATGGAGATGTCGGTAGTCGTGAGTCGTGAGTTCGGTGACTGGGTAGGTGTTCTGGGAGATTGTCGGATGTCGGTGTGTTCGGGGCGGGCGAGATTGGAGGGTTTGCTAGAGAAGGGGGGAGGGGTAGGGATGATGCTTGGGGAGATGCTTGGGGGAATGGGAAATAGGGATGTGGAGGGGAGGGCGGTGAAGGAAAATAGAAGTGAAGGGATAGAGGAAGAGAGGGTAGAGGGAAGATGGGGAGAGGGGGATGGTAGGTATGTGGTTGAATTATGAGTATGTTCAAGATGCAGAACGCTGGAAATGCTACATGGAAGTAGACAATGAGCAAGACATGAGGTAGACAGAAAAAAACACAGATACAAGACCACGCTTTTACACAGTTAGTCCCTCCCTCATCCAGCTTTTTATACAACACCCACACACTCACCCTCAACCACACTCTCACCAACTCTTAACACAAGAAAACACAAAAATGCCTCAACAGTGATGATGGATAAAAGAATATCAGAGAAAAAACACCCTTAACGGCGTCATCTTCTAACAACCCCCTCCGGCACCTCCCCAGCCCTAACCTCACTCATCGCAAACCCCGGCCTCCACGCAGGATGAATCTCACTATACGCCTCCGCAACGGGCGCCGTACTCCGCGCTTCAGCTTCAAGAATATAACTAACGCCGTCTTCGGACGCATAACTGGGTGGTCTAGGTCCCATGTCTAGTTCCTCTGCCTCATCTACATCGCCGCTGGGGGCCGCAACAGCACTACCCCTCGTACTACCGCCGCTACTGGCGAGAGGAGAGGAGCGAGGAGCACCCCCGGTTACAGACCCATTCCTACTAGTCACAGACCCATTCCGCGACCCACCACTGCCGATGTTACTCGACATGGCACTCCCCCGCATACTCCCCGCCGCTGCGCCGTCAACACGCTGCCAATGCAGCAGATCCGGATTCACCCTAACACTGCTCCTCCACAGCCCATACGCCGGCGGCGGCGGGGGCACGAGATCCTTCTCCGGGTCGGCAGCGTCAACAAGGTCGTTTTCGAGATCTGCGGCTGCGGCCTCCTCGTCGCGGCGCAGGTGCACGCGGATGGGCACGACGGGCTGGAAGCCCTCGGAGGGGTTGGCGATGGAGAGGGAGAAGGCTGGGTTGTTTGGGTCGGGCGGTGGGGGCGGGTTGAGGATTAACATGCACAGGCGGATGAGGGAGTGGCAGAAGAAGATTGTGATTGTGAGCAGGACCATTATGAAGAGGATGTGGATTTCTTGGCCGAGGTCGCTGTTTGTTAGGGCTATTGCTAGGTCTGTGGGTGTTTGTTAGTATCAAACTTCTTGTTGTGGGGGGTGGGGAGTGAGGGGGATGTTTTTTTTTGTTGGAGGAAAAGGGGACTTACAGATTGCGAGAATGGTGATGAGAAAGGTACCAGAGATTATACATGCGATTAGTTTCCCCCGCGCGGCCGAACCTCGCACGGCTGTGTCTCGCTGGTTTCGACGTCGTACCCATCCTCTGGTTCCGGTGCTGGATGTGGAGCCGGAGCGTTGGTGGTCCTCGGGGTGCTGTCTTCTTCGGTGCCTTCGTCGTCGTTGTCGTCGACGTCCATTGATGTCGTCTGCTAGTTGTTGAATCTCTGGGTCTGCAAAGCCATCCGTCTGTGGTAAGGGTACATCTGCGGGATGACGGGCGTAGACGGTGGTTGGTTCAGAAGTTTCCTGGATGGCGCCAATGTAGGAGCTTGCGCTGTGGTCGGCAGTGGGAGGGGATCCTGGCTCTTGCTGCGCGTCGTGAGATGGGCGTGGTGGTTCATTTGGGTTGGGTGATCGGTTCCAGAAACCTAAAAAGGGCGTTTTTGGTGTTGTGGTGTTGTTTGTAAGAGCAGGTGATTGCGAGTAGACGGATGATCCATTGACCGTTGTCCGTACATTGCTTCGCAAGGCGCCGAACCGTGACGGCGACTGTGTAGGTGGCGAGGCCTCGAGGTCCGAGTTTGTTTGTGGCGACCACGCAAATAGGGCTGGCATGGTGGGAGGATGCTGAATATAGCGATGGAAGTATGTGTTGATGTCCAGAAATACACGTTCACAAGCCCCAAAGTGCTATCTTGGGTACACCCTGTTGCCTTATAGCAAAGCGTCTCCCGTGCTCAATGCGACAAGAAAGCTATTATCTTGTGATGGATGATATAGCGGCGAATGAGCGGACAGTGCTGCTCGCTCATGCAGAGAGACCTCGTGGCCGCAAGCGAAACAAGACAGAAAGTATGGAGTCGAAGGGTAAACGACTGGACCTGGGCTTCCCTCGCACGACTTTTGGGGTGAACTGTTGGCTATACCTTTTCCACCTGTGTCGAAACCGGGACCCCCTCCAAGTTCCCGCCAAACTGTTATTATTGTAAAAGAAAGAAAGCGTATGTGTCGAAAGGGCAGAACCAGAGGGCCGCCTGGGCCAAACAAAGACAAAAGAAGGATTAGACGCGAAACAAGCAGAGCACAGCACCGCTACCAATTACCAGCGAGTCTGGGGAATGAGCAAGAGAACCATGATAGTTGAAGGAGAGGGAGTAGGCCGCGCAGTCACACCAACAACAGGTGTGTGGATAGCAAAGGATAGTCACGAGCGAGCGAGCATTGAGCGCCAGGAAATTCCGCGACGATTAGCGTCGCAGGCTAAGATCGCACTGAGGGTGAAACACAGGTCGCTCCTCCTTCAGCGATCCTCCGCGTGTCACGGACCGCGTTCGTGTAGGTGGGTGCGTCAGATCTGGCCTTCTTTGGAGCGGTTGGCCATGGTACGGCTATTGACCGGTACATGAGTGGTTACGCCGTGGTTGGCTCGGGTCAAAACATTATGAAACGCACATCCCAATCAAGCCAACAGACCTCCTTGACAGCGCCTGCACGCCGCAAGGCTGCAAGTGATTAGCATGCCACGCACATTATATATCAGCATAACGGACGCGTCGTCTGTAATCTTATTCCGTCGATGCTCATCTGCTATGATTTTCGTCTAGCTTTGCACACGGATGTATATAATCGCGATTCTCCGACGTCTTCCCGAATCCTGACTTCCTCGTTTCGGTGCGACATTGACATTGTACATGCGACTCCAAACCCTGTCAAGAGTCGCACCGGCGTATCCAGTCTATAAACGGCGCCTTGTGACGTGACGTCTCTGGGGCCGGAACCTACTCGGGCCTTTCTCCAGCTTCTTGCGCCGATCTCTTCGAGTCAAAGTTGCGTAGCACAATTGCTTCACCTCTGCCTTCACTTACCTAGCTCTCCTACCATGAGTTTGCGATCCGAAGATGCGGAGAGCACTAAGAATTGCCAAGTCAGCCTGATGTTCCTCCTGGTAGCGGTGAGGATGCTGAGACGCTTGGTCTCCGCTGCCAATGTTGCCAATGATGCCAATGTTGCAATATCCTCTCCTTTCCGCCTCAAGCGCGCAGGCACGCGACAGTTGAAAGCTTGAAAAACGGAGAGGCGGGGAATTAAACGCAGCATGCGTTCCAGAAGGATTGGATGAAGCAGAAGAAACTTGGATTCAACTTACAAATCGGTTCACCGAGCGGATGGAAGCGAACGTCGTTGACAGCACCTCGGTGACCAGGCAACTTGTTTAGAAGCTTTCCTGTACGCGTCTCCCAGATGGCGACGCTTTGGTCTCCACTTCCCGCTGCAATCTTCTCGCCCTTGGGGTCCCAGCTTGCCTTTAGAAGGTTGCGCTCCTGGCCGGTCGGCGCTCCATCGTATGTCTGAATGCGCCGGTCCGCAGGCGCAAAAGGTCTCACATCCCACGTCCGTACCGTCGAATCATGTGCGTTGGAAAGTAGGGTTTGGTTGTCTGGCGACATTTGGAGTGAGGTGACGGTGTCGGTGTGACCAAGCAGTGTGTACGTAACCGCTTGTTTCCGAAGGTCCCAGACCTTGATGTCGTTGTCAATGCCGCCGGTGAAGAGCTCGTTGCCGGCTTCGGCCAAGCATATGGCCGTTATGGGGAAATCCGTAGGGATGAAGGTTACCGCATCCTTGGTTCGTGTGTCCCAGATCTGTTGGTCTTGTTAGCGAAAGTTTATAGGGTCTGGGATACCTGCTCACCCCGATATAGCCGTCATCTGAGCCACTGACGAGCATCTCCTCACCGCGCTTGCTCACGTCCATGCAGTTGATGACCTCTTCGTGACCTGGGTGTCTCCGTATCCTCTCGCCAGTCTCTACATCCCAACTTGCTAGATACATGTCTGCCGAGGCGGAGAATAAGACCTTGGAGTCGCGCGACCAGTGGAGGTCTAGTACTGCCTGTTTGTGTCCAGTGAGGATGCCGTAATTCTCGCAAGACCCAGAACTGCGCCAAAGTACTATTCATAATCAGCGCAGGCCTTTTGCACAACTTTCCAAGGCGACTCACATATTGACCGGTCCATGGATCCAGAAGCTATGTACTGTCCGGTTGGGTCGAATCGGGCTGCGAAGACTTCACCAGAATGGCCTGTCAGCTCCATGACGGGCGACTGCAGCGCGCTGGTACGCGACTCCTACAGTACCTGTCAGCGCATGGCAACTTCAGCTATGGTACTCATAAAAGATGCTTGATTGTGACATACCGCTTGGATGAGGGCGCCATTTGCGCGCGAACCATTCACTACAGCTACAGCAGAGCTTCCCGCGAGGTTCGCGTCCGACTTTGTGCGCTTAACCAGCTGACTGGTGCCGAATGCTTCGTGCGCAGGTCGCTTTTCCTTGGACATGGCGACGGGTGCGTGTTGATGGGTTTTATTTGTGGTGGGGTCTCGTGGTGTTCAAGTTGGTTGGAGCTGCTATCATGGTCACGGTTTCTACGTAAACTTTCCTGCAAGGCGGATCTACGCCAAGCTATATCGACTCCACCGCCCGAACCCACCCTCCGCATGCTTCCCGACGCCAACAACACCTCCCCAAAGTAGCGAGCGCATATAACCTAACCCTACCCCGAATTTACAGGACCCTTTATTCTCGGGAAGCCAGGTACATTGGGGCAAGAGACTAGAACAGCCGCTCTCATGGCTTCGTCCACCAAAGCAGCCCGTCTGGGCGAGGAGTGAGCTCCACATGCTAGCAGTTGCTTTGAGATGTGCTAATACACGTTAGAGTATGGAAGTAAGTCCTGCGCATGACTTCCTGAAGCGACTTGTTCTGACTCTCCAAGGACTCGAGTGGACAAGGTCAGCGCTGAGCTCGTCACCCTTACCTACGGCACCATTGTTGCGCAACTGTGCAAGGACTACGAATACAACTACATTGATGTCAACAAGCAACTGGAGCGCATGGGCTATAATATCGGTATACGGCTGATTGAAGACTTCCTCGCAAAGTCAAGCGCGCCTGCTTGTACAAACTTCCGGGAGGTGTCCGAGATGATCTCAAAGGTACTTCTGCTCATATATATAATGCTGCGCCCAGGCTGATGCGCCAGTAAAGGTCGGATTCAAGATCTTCCTCAATATCACACCGACGATTACCAACTGGTCAAGCGATAACAAGCAGTTCTCCCTCATCTTCGAAGAGAACCCGCTTGCCGACTTTGTGGAGTTGCCCGACGATGGCCGCGCACAGGACGAGCTGTGGTTCTCCAACATATTGGTCGGTGTGCTGCGTGGCGCATTAGAGATGGTACGTCTGTGTCGTGTTATACTGGGCGAGGGATGATATGTGCTGATACAGACTAGGTACATATGCAGGTGGAGGCACACTTTGTCAGCGATGTCCTACGGGGCAACGACACTACAGAGATGCGGATATCCTTGGTCCGCTACATTGACGACGAAATGCCACCCGACGATGAGTAAGAGCAGACATGGGGCAAGGCGTCTTCAAGACATGGCCACGGGTGAAGGAACAGGTACAGTACGAGGGACGAGGGAGAGGAACAGCGCTACCAACGAGACAGCAACATGCGCAGAGCAGTATCCGCCAAGCAGTTGCAAGGCGGTTGTAGGGCTCGTCGAAAGCGTATAGTATGTCAGATTACTCTTGGCATATTACAATGCAGTAACAAAATAGAATTGCGCAATTGAAAGCAGTCCAGGGGGAGGCAATTGCACTGCTTGGAAGCGTGTGGTTGTAGTTAGTAATGCAACTATGTGGTTGTGGATGGGTGCGCTGACAAGGACGGCAAAAGTGCCAGTGCCAGTGCATCAGAGGCGGCCATCTGCTGCAACTGTTGGGACAGCCGTCGAGGTCGCGTTACATGCATGCCCCACCAAGCTGGTAGCCCCCGTGGATGTCGGGGTGCATGCCCTGAGCATCACGACACCTCAAAATGTTGCCACGGTCATGCATCTTTATTTTGCTGCATTTCGTGGCAAAAGCAAATGCAGGAATCGTGATGGTAGGCGTGTCTCGGTGCGCGATGGGGGAGGCTGGAACATGATCGCAAATCACGTGGCTTGCACCTTGGCGGCGCACTGAGCGGCCGCACTTCCCCTCGTCTTCTTGGTCATAAACTTCGCCCAACTTCAGTACTTCTCATCTGCGCCGTCCATCTAGACGCGCCCCATCGCGCCGTCGTCTTGCCGTCTACCGTCCGCCGTCGTTGTTGTCGTGATCCCATCTCTTGGCAGATACCCCCTTCACGCTAACCCCCGACCCATACCGTGCATCAGCCGCCGCCTTTTCATCGCGACACCGTCCTCCTCCGGCAAACCAACATCTCTGCCGCCTGCCCTTTGCGCGACGTGACGGTCCTCAGTTTGCCCACATCGCCCATCGCCCATCATCCTTGGCACGCCGCCCCCGCCCCGACACCGAAACCCGCGGCGGCGACGTTCCATGCTGGTGTAGAGGCTCCGACAGCACTGAGGTGCACGACACATCGCGTCCATTACCACGACCGCGCACCCATCGCTAACCCCCCACCCGTCCCCCGCGCCCAAGCCACGACCACAGCTGCTTCCTTCGCGATGCAGAGCTCTCAGCAGCACATGGCGCACATGGCTGCCATGAATGCGAACAACAACGGCTCCGTCGATAACACGCCCATCATGGGCAACATGGCGCATCCCAAGCGCATGGGCACCGACCCCACCGAAAAGCTCAATACGTACATCTACGACTACTTTCTGCGCAACAAGCATCTTGACCTGGCGCGCGCCATGCTAAGCTGCGACCTGAAGATGTTGACCGAGAAAGGCAGCCCCGGCAACCGGCCCAACGGCGTCGACTCGATCGACCAGATAGAAGACCTGCCCTTGCCCCAGCTGCCCCCAGGCCAGGTTGCTGACAATTCCTTTCTGCTCGACTGGTGGGTTCAGTTTTGGGACATTTACATGGCCAGTAAGCCGCGCAACACGGCCTCGAAGAACGCGAACCAGTATCTTAGCCACAACCGGGTATGTATAGTGCACAATCATGTGACAGTAAGTAGACACTGACGCCCCAAACAGAATCTTGGCCACATGCAGAATGAGCAAAGGAACCAGCGCATGATGATGAACAGCAATATGAATGCTCAATATCAAATGATGCGCAATGGGGGCATGGCCAACGGCACCCAAACCGACCTCAAGCGGACCGCAGCCATGAACAACAACCGACCGTACGTGCCCGTGAAATTAATCCTGAAGTAACCCAATTGCTAACCCTCAGCAGAACCGGCAACCCCATGGCCGGAATGCAACCTATGAAAAATCCAAACATGATGGCTGCCAACATGCAGCGCGACGGCTCAGGCATGGACATGAACGGCCAGCGGCCGCAATCGCCAGGGTCCAACGAGAATGCTCCGTCGCCGAATAAGCGCCCCCGCGTTGACGGTACGTCATTTGTCCTACCCATCTCCCTCCTACAAACTAATGCATTGCCCTCCACAGGTGGCATGAATGCCGGGAACATGCCCAACCAACAATTCAACGAGTTCATGCCGCAAGGCCCAGGTGCGCAGCAGAAGAACATCGAGGTATATGCCCAAAGTTTGGCCCATCAACACAGAGTGGCAATGAGTAACACTTCGTCCCCCCAGGGTATGAACTCTGGCATCCAAGGTTCCCCAATGGCCCAGCCAGGTCTCGACGGCCAAGAAAACATGTTCGCTGGCAACGGCCCGCGTCCCAACAATGTTCCTCCCAATCCTCCAGGCGCGCCTCAGCAAGGCGGCAACCACGCACTCCAGGACTACCAGATGCAGCTGATGCTGCTTGAGCAGCAGAATAAGAAGCGGTTACTCATGGCTAGACAAGAGCAAGACAACCAATCTGGACACCCTCAGCAGGGCGTCATGGGCGGTCCGGGCTTTGGGGCTGCCATGTCACCTCAAGGCAGCAGAGCCGGCGGTCCATCGCCCAACCCGTCCGACCAGATGAAGCGAGGTACACCAAAGCTTGGCCAGCAAGCCCTCCCTGGCTCACCAATGCCTGAAGGAGTCATGGGCCAGCAACGTGGCTCCCCTGCGCCCAACATCAATTTTGATCCCATGACTGCGCCTCCCGGGATGCCTCCGCAATTCTACCCCCAGATGCAACAGAACAACCCCATGGGCATGCGGCCCCCGAGCTCACACCCCCAGGCACCCAACTTTAATGGCGGTCAGCAAATAACGCCTGCACAAATGGAAGCCATGCGCAACGGCCAGATGCAGCAGCAGAATGGCGCTGTGTGGCGTGGACCTCAACCCAACATGATGCAAGGCGGCCAGCAAATGGGAGGTCCCATGGGCCAAACCCCTCAACAGCGTCAGATGCCACCGCCCCCAGCGCCTACCAACGAACAACCACGGCCAGAGCCGTCTCCGTCAATCTCCAACCAAGCACCACCCACGCCATCGCAAACAAACAAGGCCAACCCCAAGAAGAAGCCAACCAAGGATGCCAAGGTACGTTCGTCACTTTCTTTTCGCCCCTGAGCAACGTTGATATTGATTGTAGAAGCCCGCAAACAAGAAGGGTGCGAATACAGGTTCAACTCCAGCAACAACAAACGGCGAAGAGCCTCCCACACCGACAACCTCCACCCCTGTGGCTCCAATCACGCCCGTTCACAAGCAATCGTTTAACCAAGGGCAAAACGGACAGCAGCAGCAACAACAGCAGCCCGTGCAACCACAGCCTCCATCTGACCAGCCCATGGACAATGGCGGCCCACCGTTTGGTAACATTGATAACGACGTAAGTTCTTGATTGTCTCCATCTATATTCGTCCGCTAACACGACGATAGCCCAATGGTTTTGACCTTGGCCTCAATTTTGGCGATGACAATGGCGCGCTGGAAAACTTTGACTTTGACTCCTTCTTGCACACAGGCAACGACAACGATGGTTTTGGCGCTATACCTGATTTCGATTTTGGCAATACTACAGAAGTATAGGTTGTTGTTGCTGTTGCGTGTGTGTTGGTTGAGCAAGTTTGGTTGGTGTGGCTTTTGGAAAACCAAAAACTGTTTCATATACCCGTCTTTTTATCGACCTCGATCGCTTTCTCTCTCCCTCTCTCGCTCTCTCTCTCTTCCACTCCCAATCTCTCGCTCCTTCTCTTCCTTCTTCTCTCTTATTTAGGAGCGCGGCCATTCCAACTGGGTTGTTTGTTGGCCTGTCCGAGGAAGAAAAGGAGAGAGGGGAGGTGGTTTGGGACAGAAGGAAACTACTATTTATATAACACACATGTGTGGGCTTTACAGTTGGGAAACTCCTTGTTTTTCTTTGACGGGCGTTGATCTTGTGTGTCTCTGTGTGTAAGGGCGCGATATAGCTTGAGGGTTTTTTTTGAAATGTGTTTTGTGTTTTTGTTTCTTCCTTATACTTACTACCATTTTGTTTTTGGATGTTTCTCTGATAACTTACTACTACCCTACTCTCCCCCCTATCATACACGCATCATCATCATCTCGAGCTTGAGTTTGAGTGTTTGAAGAGCAACGGCATGGTTATATACTATTATTTATATATTAGTATGGAAAACTTATTTACACCCTGTTCTCTTTTTTTGGCATTTGTTTGGCATTTATATATGTGTCCACATCCATTCACTTTGTATGACTTCAAGTCGGTTCCCTTTTCTACACGCTTGTTTACTTGCTTTGTGCGGTTTGTTTGTGTTTATTCGCCTTTTTCTTGTTTTCCTTGTTTTTGTTTTTGTTTAGTAATACGTCCCTAAAACGTCATGTATGTCTATATATGAGGAAATGTTTATGGGAATCTTTCTGTTTTTTGTTTTGATGATGTGGTGGGATAGTTTGTGGGAGGCGGTAGGGAGGGTTATACCAATATTACTTGCTACTTTTTTTGATAGGTTTTTGTGTGTTTTTGCGTGTATGTGTGTGTGGGAGAGGGAGAGAGACGGAGAGACGGGTGTAGAGAGAGAGGGAGAGAGAGAGGGAGTGGGGATGGAGATGGGTAGGGGATGAGTGTAGAGACGTGGATAGGGATGTGTGTGTGGGCATGGAGATGAGGTTAGCGTAGAGAAGAAATCGTTACTTGGAAACGAATTAATGCTAGAAATCTATATAACAAGCTGTTTTTCTTCTCTTTTCTAGGGTGAATGATGCGGGTTCGCTGCTATGATACACAACAGACAATAGATATAGTTATCTTATAAACAGCTAAATAACCTATTGTCATCTATTACTCTCTCACTACCCTATACTCCTCCCCTATTGCTCTTACTCTTTAGCTCGTGATTACACGTTAGCACAGCCTCCTTGTTAACCCTAGCTATACCTCTCCACTCCACATCCTAACATCAACTCCTATCCTCACTTGTCCCACCTACCTACCTACCTACCTACACCCAAATCCAAACATTATATTTTCTAACACAACCCCCTCTCAAGAATCTACCTTGGCTGTCTGTCGCAAAACTACACAACGGCATAGGCTCAAAAGATTGCTTGTATTGTGTGGAGGATATGTATAGGAGAGGCGCATGGGCTGGTGGGTTGTATGGGGTGGGGTTGTATAGGGCTAGGTGGGAGGTAGTAGGGAGGCGCTGGTGTAGGTCGGGAGGGTGGGAGGGTGGAGGATGAATAAGGTGGAAGGAAGAGAAATCGATGGTTGTGTATGCACTCTGGTTTATACTATCTGACCAGAACATTACGATCGGCAAACGGCACTCGTACTCTTGTGCTCTTGTGCTCTTGTGCTCTTGTGCTCTTGTGCTCTTGTGCTCTTGTAGTGGTTAGATCAGCACTGCTGGATGCTTGGGGAAATTGTGCACTTGGGTTGATCTGAGGGTGCTTTTGTGGTTAGTTTCGTGATGGGGTAGTTTTTATGGTGTTGTATCTGGTTCGTTTGTGTGTGGTGGGGTGGATTTTGGAGGGGATGGTTTGGTGTTTGTCATCTTAATCGATTGTGTGCACAGTTGTTGTAGTATTGTTGTGCCTGTTTTGGGCCGGAGTGGTCTTGGATTGAGTATGCAGGCTATCCATTTTTTCACTGTGGTGGGGTGTAGGTAATGGTACTTGGCTGTAGTGGCGTCAATCACCACTACTACTGGGTCTATCCTAGCTCAAAATAATCACAAGATTGGCATGTAGACTATCCTTTTCCCCTAAGGAGTGTGTTAAGGTAGAACCTTGATTGTAGTGGAGTTAATGCTAGGTTGCCGTGTGTTCGGTATGTCCTATGACTTGGCCAACAACTCATTGTACCTATGAAGTCTTCTCAACATTCACTTCAAACTGTGTGATTTTTGGACGAAATGTATATGTCGTGGTGCTAGTTGATCAAGAGTCGAAAGAATCATCTTTCATGAGGTCTCAATCAAGCCTCAAGCTGACTGATGCATGCGGAGACGGTCAGCGGGAGCTAGGCGAATCTAACCCTAATCGCAAGACATCAGCTTCTACAACGACGCGATGCGATGCGATTTGATTAGCGACACGATCAGATGCGCGATAATCCCAACCCCTCGTGCCGACGTACGAAGTGATAGTCGCCACCTGGCGCCAATAGAGACGACAAACTGGAGATGACGCGTTCGAAGGCGTAAGCACATGGCAGCCACGACACGAGGACTTGCAAAAGATCGTCACGAGGGGCGAAGAATGTTCGCGAATCCCACCAAGACGGAGAGGCGGCCGTAGATACGTCCAGACATGTCCAGACCTTAGTGTTGGTGTTGCCATTCGGTTTTACACCCAAGAGAGGCGCAGTCGCACAGCCACAGGGTCTCTGTTGACGTAACCGCCAACCCGCAACAACACCTGCAGCAGGTTGGGCGGCTCCTTGTCGCCTGCGTTGCTTAAAAAAGGTCGCTCCTTCTGCACTCGTACACCGAATTAGACGATACCCCTCCTTCTCTTTCACCTCAGCACACTTGTAACTGTGCACCTCTTTTTTTCCAGCAACCAACCCACGCCGCATACCCCGCGAAAGCGCCGTCGCAAGCATGAGCGGCCATGGAGATCCTCGATTGCTTTATACCATCGGCGGTATAAAGGCCTACCATATTCAACAGGGCGAAGAGAGCTCTCTTACGCCTTCGGGACCACAGACACTGTCGCTGTTGATGGTTCCTACCAACTCGCCTTTTGCAGACCTCAGCAACTCGCGCGGCCAAAATGAAGCACCCGAAGAAGACTTCTATCTACACCTCAACCTCCCACCCGAGCTCGACCTCCCGCTCCCCGCGACCACACAAATCTACCACCAGCCGCCGCGTAGTTACCTGATACCGCGTTGGGATTTGGGCCCAGAGAGTGGCGCCTTCACGCGCATCGAGTTTCCGCCAATTGGAAAGGGCTCGACGTCGGTCACGCAAGAGGATGTCGATACCTTTGAGACTATCTTGGCGCAATGTACTGCCTTCCTTGAGCGTGCCCAGGCCCCAATACACGAGAAGGGCAAGGGCAAGGGTGACGTCAAGGCATACAACCCTCAGGACTACCGTCCCGGCGAGGGCTACGCAGGCAATGGTGGTAAGAATGGCGAGGTGGTTCTGGTAGACGAGGAGAATGGTAGCGTCGTGGGCGAGCTGGCCGAGGGTGCCATGATACACGCGGATCCAGCACTACAACAAGGGTCCAAGAGTAAGTTGTTTACAGCCATATCCGAGACTACGTCACTCATGCTAACACAGGGAAAGATCCCGTCGAGATTGTCGTTTCGTCGGATGGAAAGCGCATTGATATCCGCCCGCTCGACGAAGACTACCTCGACATGGCCCGCCATCCCGCATACAAAGACTCTGGTCTCGTACAAAATGCCGCTGCCGCATCACGCCTTATCGTGACCGGCTCCAGCTATCTTAGTAACATGATGGTGTCTGGTGCAGAGAACTTCATCAGCAAGACGAAGCCGAACGAGAAGCCCATGATGTTCAAGCCCGCTACACACGAACGCGCTCGCAAGATTAACAACCTCACCACTGGCGTTGCTGGATACTCTGCCAAGACTGTGGGACAACTTACAAAGTACGCCCAAAATGCGGCAGCAGGAATGGCAGGTCACAAAAAGACACATGCCAGGAGCGTTAATCCCGATGGCACGCCCAACCAAAACTACAAGCCTGGTCTACTGAACAAGTCGATGATCGCCTTTTCCACTGTCGCCGACGGCATCACACATTCCGGCAAACAACTTCTGACCAGCAGCGGTGCAGCCGCCAGTGCAGCCGTAGGACACAAATACGGCGCCGAAGCCGGACAAATCACCACCAACCTCGCCGGCGGAGTCAAGAACGTCGGCCTCGTATACATTGACGTAACCGGTGTCAGCAGAAAAGCAATCATCAAGTCCGTCGCCAAGGGCATGGTAGTCGGTAAAGTCAAGGACAAAAAGGGCAACGAGCAAACCGTCATGGTCGGCGGTGGCGACGGCGGTGCTATCGATCCTACAGACTTGAGCCCACATATGGGTATCACGAATGACAGCGCTCCTCCTAATCAGTCCAACACTCCTGCTCCTGGTGGTCAGGTGTCGTTTGGTGGACCCCCGCCTGCGTACCGTACTGGTGTTGGCGAGTCGCTTGAGGGACAGCCGGCGTACTATCCACGGGAAAAGAGGTGAGGTGGTGACGTTGAGCCCTTGTGGCTTGATGAGGTATGATGTCATGATATGAGATAAGTATGATAGGAGGTAGTGGTGGAAAGTCAGCTGTTAGATCAGGCATCTATGTTTCTTCTTATTGGTTTATGAAGCATCTGACATCACTGTAGTTGGTGTCTTGCCTTTTTTTGGAGCGGGTGTGTAGGGAAAATCGTGGATTAACGAGAATACATACTTGATTCAGTCAACTTTGTTGTGTTGTGAGTGGTGTATGTGTGAGTGAGTGAAATGTTTTGTTTTGAATCGTTGTGCACTTTGTCCGTCAGGGCTCTTATGAGTATGAATGTTTTCTATCTTTTCGTCCGTTGTTTTTGTTGTTGTCAGGTATTCCAAGGCTCGGTCTATTCACATCTTTTCATTCGTGACATATCCCTTCGCTGTTATCCTAGGTCCATCTCTCTCTTCAAATGATAGTAAACCGATAACACGTTTGTCTTGTCTCGCCACTCTTCTTACCCACAAACGCTTCTTTTGCCTCGTTTCATCGTCGCTTTATAGCACCGATACATACCCCTACTCAAACCTCGCCCGATATTCATACTCTGTGTCTGTGTCTTTGAGTTTATCTGCATTTCTGTAGTCTTATTACGTTGGCTCTTTAGGCGGTCGTTGCTGATGTATGACATGGTGGATGTAAGTAGAGGGGTTGTGTTTTTCAGTGAATAGTGGGGTTGGGTTGGGTGAAGGGTGGGTAGTGAGGGGAGGCGGGAGGCGAGGTTGTGGAGTGATAGAGGTGGTATATGAGGGTATCTGGTTCTGTGTGGACGTGGGCGTGGGTGTGGGTGTGGATAAGAAGGGAAGTAATGTGGATTTGGACGTTAGCAATTAGGGGAAAGGAAGGAAAAGAGGAGTGTTGTTGTGTTGGATATGATCAATTGAGAATGGCATGGGAATATATTAAAATCGAGTCTTTCTGAGTAAGGCTAGTATAGTTATCTGTTTCTCCTCAAGATAAAAGCAGCTCTTTTGCTTCACGTTTACCATTCCATAGTTCATGACTTCGCCACCCAATTTAAGTTTACAATAACTTGCGAGTAGAGCGCAGGAGTAGTCCTATCTCTTAAACTCCTTCGAGAGCGAAAGAACCTACACTGGCAGATTATTGTTGTCTCTCCATGCGTCTTTTCGAAATACAGTTTTAGTTGGGAATGTAAGTGGATAGAGCAAGGAACAGTGTTCTTTAGAATCTTATAAGATGAGCTCTATTGATAGGTTATTATTGTCACTGATTAAGGATTTTACGGGTTGGATTTGATTTATGTAGATCTGGGTAGAGATAGAGAATTGATTGACAGGTTGTTATCTTCACTGCATATAGGATTTCAACACTGAAATTTTAGTTAATAATGCTTGCGGGTACACGATAGAAATACTTATACAGATAAGGAGACGGGGTGTGTTGTTAATTCATGCTTCCTTTCCAATCTAACACACGATTGATTATCCTTTTCAGTGCGTGATAGAAAAAACTGTACAGAAAACGAGAGAGACTATATTGGGCATTTTCCCTCGCTAGTTCGTGCGTTCTTCGACACTCAATGGCTATTGACAGTTTCTGCGAGTAGACTATAGAAACGTCTACACAGATAGCGATAATAGTTGATTCTCTGCATGTCTGGTACGAATCACTCAACACACAACATCCGACCCAGTATATCCATCATTAACTTCCAAGTCCATCTCAAAAGATCCAGACGATATCCCTTCGACTCTGTTCTTGCTCCGCAACCTGCTCAACCCTTGCTTCTTCCCATACCACTGTCCCACCCAAATCCGATCCAACTACAGCACCCTGAACCCATCGCTATCCCATGTCCACGAACAACGATTCAGATCTCATCGTCACCAACACACTCATGTCTATAAAAATCATGTCCTACATTCGTCGCAGTGACATCCTGTCGAACCCCTCTCAACTCCCCCATGCACATCCCCACCGACAAACCTTCCCCGTCCTTGTCCGTATCCCAGTCACCAATGTGACGATAGACGCACTCCTAGCCCCAGTTGCCAGTCTCCGATGTAACAGTCACAGTGTTCCAAAGTATAGCCCAGGGATACGTTAGGTTCCGGATAATTCGCAGATCGTCCCACACGACACGACACGACATCCAACCCCCTGGCCCTGACCCAGAGGGGTGAAGCGAGGTGAACACCCCCTACACCGCTAAAAGAAGGACCACTAGAAGGCTTGACGAAGAAGAAGTTTCGACTCTAACACTGGGTCGCTTGGACTTGTCCCGGAAAGGCGTTCGCTTCGGCTTCACATGTGCAGCACACACTCGCTACACCCCGTCCGTCCGTCCGTCTACAGTACCGGTACGCTCGCCGCTAAACAACCCAGACTCCGTCGGAGCAAGTAAAGCCGTAACTTACACACTAAGTAAGTAGTGGAAACCGGAATCCACTCCCTCATACAGTACGATACGTCCGCCACAACGCTCATGTCACATGTCATCGCCCTCGCCCGCTTTGCCTCACTACCGAAAAACCGGCTAGTACCTTCTTCCCTCACCTAAAGTAACCCAGGGTTTTTTTCTAATTTTACTTGAGAGTCGCGCATATAGGGTAATCGTAGACGAGGGACCACGGACGACGGACGTTGCGGAGACAGTGCACCGGGGTCGTTTGGGTTTGGGTATGCTTTGGCGGCCTTGGTTATATGTTTGTGGTACGATTACTATACAGTATACTGAAGATGTGGGCTCCGGGGCGTTTTGCTACTCGCTCGCTGTCCTTGGATGGCTTGTTCTATGTTGGATCTGCGGTTGGGGTTGGGTTAGTGTTGTGGCACTTGTAGACTGCGTGGACACGTGTGCCGAGGTACGTACCTCAGAGCAAGGGGTTTCTTATCATACGATTATGTATGGATAGGCTCGTGCTGTGTTACTCGCTAGGTACAGACTGTTTGAGTGGAGATAAGTCTGTGAGAGAGAAGAAGAAAACTTGATCGACGGGGTATCTTCGGTTCAGTGTTGTCTGCCCATGCCATCCCTTCCCAGCTTCTCGTCCCATGTACGTACACTTGCTAGAACACGACGTCCTTTGTCAGATCTACCTACCTACCTACCTACCTACCTACTCTGTACCCTCCGGTCCATCTAACTCGTCCCACGCGCCAAGTCCCAAGATTCCCAACTTCTCACCTTAGCGTCCGCCAGCAGACGACAAGACAACACATTCTCATACGACTTTGTTTTGACACCCGGTGCCACGTACGTTCCGTTACGTTACGTTAGACCCAAGCGCAAGTTGACCTCGGAAAGACAGCCGGACGAGGTCCACTGGGGGCCCACTCTGACTTACTGAACTCCACTCCACTAACTCCACGTCAGGTCAGGTCACGGCAGTGCCGAGGGAAAAGAAGAAGCATGTGTACCGACCGTGCTTGTTTTGCTTTTCATGCCGGCGGGATACATACGACAATAGACGATCCTCATGTTGTTCGCTTTCATGCAGATGGGGATGGATACGACCGTCCGTCCGACACTAGATCATCACACGTCGTATCGAAAGTAGTGGGCGAAGCAAGCAAGGCGCAAGCGGTTAAGCCAAGGACACATCACTCACAATCACCAGTCATGTCCCACGTCTATCTGTTTCATCTCTCTCTCTCTCTCTCTCTCTCTCTCTCCCCAGCACCAGCACCAGCAATCACCACGGGCGGCACTCCCTCCTAACCCTTTCCCACGTCCCTCGTCCAAAACGTACAGTATGTACCCGCCCAGTCTACTTAAACAGCTAACGCCAATTCATGCCGCTCGCCCCTTCCGTTTAAGACCGAGGACCGGATCCGAACTTCGGAGGCTGGCTGGTTTGGCAAGGGCGGACTGATTCGTCGTCAAACAGATCTTCGGGGGGGATACGATATTGATGCGGTCGGTCGGGGAATTAGGGCTGCGAACCAACGACCGGCTAGGTTGGCTGGCTGGCTGGCTGGTGCCGACCGACCAGCATGAAGGTGTTGCAACCGTGCTGGCTACGAACCTGCACGTTTGGTGTTAGAAACGGGGAAGGGGAGGGAGGGGAGAGAGAAAAGAGCAGGCTGGGCGAGTTGAGCTACATCGTTGTGGTGGAGAGATCAGATGTTATGGTATAGGGAGAGGGTTTTATGCTATACACTTGCGACCCGGACCCGAACACGCAATTTGATGATGATGAATAATGAGAAGCAAAGGAGAAGGGATGAGGGGAGTTCAATGTGTACAGTCGGTCCAGTTCAGTTCAGTTCAGTTCAATGTGACCAAACACCGTACTGAACCACTCACTCTCTACCACTCCCAAGACCACACAGTCCACTCTTCCCCTCACCTTCTTTGCTTTTCCCGCCACATCACAAGCCCACAAGCCCACAAACTACTAATCTCTGACTAAGTCCTTACACCAATCAACCCCCGCTCACCCAAAAAAAACATGCAACACACTATATACCCACAAGACCTATACCAAACACACCGACACGACACGTACCGCACCGACCGACCGACCCGCTTCCCGACCGAGATCCAAGGCGGAACGACAATCTCTACTTAATCAACCACGAAAAGAAAAAACAGGCGGCTAAAACCTAGCCCGCAGCAAGAGCACTGGGCACGACGGTATATGCCGTCGACATGGACTGTATGTATGTATGTGTTGTCCTATTCGCGCCTTTATCCGTCACGGGTAGCGGAGCCTCGGGGCGATTGGGTTTCAAGCGGGAAGTGGAGGGGGGTGCGGAAGGAGAAGGGAGGGGGTGCTTGCAGAGAAGTCGAGAAAAGGTAGGGATAATGGTTGTAAATTGTTAGTAAAAAGGGTAGTTTGGAGGCATGGCTGCGATCATGGCTACCATGGATATCATCTGTGTGACGGCATGTTGATGCCAGGTATCGAGTCCCCTTGAGAGTTTGTTCGGCGGTATTGGCGTGGGTTGAGTTTGGTGGTTGGGGGTGTAGTTAGTTCAAGGAAGACGGAAAGAGACTTTGCTTAAGTTGGAACGAAAGCATTAAGACCGACCACCGACCGTCTCCGCTAACTAATCAACCTCTCGCTTTGCCTGCCCGGCCTTGCGTGCGTACGCATGTGTGTTGTCTGCCTTGGGCTTTGTGTAGGTAAGCAGCAACAAACAAACTCTTGTCAGCATCCCACGATCTGGATTCCCTTCTTTCATCGGCGCCGAAAGAGTTTGGGGGAGCAGAAAGTCGAGGCTGACTGGCTCAAGCGTGCGGAACCGGAGAGGTCGGGTTCCCTGTTGACGAGACAGAGACTGCAGATCTGCTTCATGGTGTGCATATCCTGTGACAAAGAGAGACAAGACGCCCATGCAACTACAAGGCCATGTCGCTATATTCCCATGCTTGTTTCAACATTTTTTTTCTCTTTCAACGGTTGAAAACCTGGATGAGAGCTTGGGAATGCTGGTCCGTTATCCCAACAAGGTTCTGTCCTTCTCCTCAGCTTGCCAGGACAGGCCAAGATCGGAGCCTTATACCGAGATCTGCTATACCCCAAAGCAGAACTTTGCACATGCGCATGTGTTTGTATACAGGCTAGTCTGCGGCGAGACCTTGCATATATGCGCCTTCTTGGTTCATTAATCAACACACCGGTTTTTACATGACTTGCATACTAAGCTTGCGTGTTCACCATCGGAAGCAGCGGGGAAGGGGGGAATCCCTGTTTGAGTTGGCGTGCGGCGAACCCGCTGGGTTCACTGGGTTCTGGGTTTGAGACTGTTGCTATATAAGGGTAGTTGTATATGGGATAGGGCTGGGCCATGGCCAAAAGAAAGTGACTAGGCTAGGCGAGCGCTACGTAACTACAGTCCGGAGCAAAGCGGAATACTACATGAGGAGATTTCCGCCAAGTGCACGTGTGGCTGAGTAATTTTTCGAGAGAGAAATCTGCTGACTGTGTTCTGTGAGTAGTCAGGTACCGACCGGATTTCGCTGACTTGGCAGTTGTTGTTCTTGTGCGGAGTATGTCGCTCCGGCCCTTCAAGCTCCGAGACTAACACTAAGACAATTCTGGAATGTTGATGATGTAACTAAATCAGTGTTGCATATTACGTGCATGAGCATAGCGTTCTGGATTCTTCTTTTGGTTTTATCATGTCGCGCATTATCTTCGGAGATCATTCTCCTCGTATTCTAGAGACACGGGAAAAAACTCAATACTTTGGCTTTCGGTACGGGGTTCTTAGCTCTTCATGCAAATGGAGGTGTAATGGGGAAATGGGAGCGGAAGGCCATGCTGACCGAATCAAATCGCCATGTACGCCGTGTCCGACTGATCCTCAGGGGACGTATCCGGTACTTGGCTTAGTTGCTGACCTTCAAGGTACCGACAAAGTTTGGACAGGGTCAAAACAAAAAGCGCCGGTCCCTTGGGCGGATTGTTACTTCCTCGGTACTTTAGCAATTACCATTACATCGCCAATGCAGGTTACGGACTCATTTTTGTAATGAACGTGCGCCTAGGACTTACTGTGTGTATGTGCACCTGCCCGTTTGGTGATACTGTCTCAGATACCAACAGCCTAGATGGCGCGTTGTCGTGTTTGTGCGTTTCCGGATATCAAGGGTCCCGAAATCTTAGTAACGACAGATACAGTAGTCGACAAACCAAAACTTTTACATTGTACTTGCATGCTGAACCTTGTGAGAGGACTAGGACATGGACATGGCCGCGCGGTAGGCGGAAGTACCCTTGGTGTCCATGATGCGACCGGCTCGCGACCTGGCGACTCGTGAACCGGCGGCTTGCGAGTAAGTGAGTAAGTGAGCCAACGCGAGCCGGCTCTCTCTCTCAGTCCCTCTCTCTTTCGGTTAGACATAATTCTCCGACGCAAGGCCGTTGGGGATGATCTGCGACACGATTCTGCATATCCGCCCCCCCTGGTTTCCCTTTTCTGCACTGAGGCTTGAGCTCGACGCTCGGGCTGCTGTCGAGCGAACTGGCTGATGCTGCGAGTAAGCAAGCTGGCTACTGGGTTGTTGCAACGTTGCAACTATCCGGGGACGCCGCCGTGGGGGCAGCGGAGGCGCCACCGCAGTTGACGGACGGATAGAATCTTGGGGGTTTAGTTTGGATGAGAGTCCACGTCTCGGGTGTGGCGTGTTTTCTTGGGGCGCAGGCACAAGCGATTTTCGGAGTCTTCGGAGTTTGAGGCAACTTCTCGGAGTTCTATGAGCGCCGTGGGCGCGTCGACTGTGCTTCGACTTGATTGCTTTTTTACTTTTGGGGAAACCGCTTCGTGTTGGGGTAGGAGATGTAATCTAGGCGCGCAGGTCCGAGGTCCGTGTAGATGGATGATTGATGTTGTGGCGCGCACGTGATAGTCAGCCACTTTCAATGTCTTTGCGATGCCCACCGTAGCGACTGCGACGTTTGATCAACATGGTTCACACAGCTCGAACGCCGTAGAGAGGACACGTGATTCAATGAACACCCAAGTGCCTTTCGGTCAAATGCAGCAAAGGCGCGCATCTAGCAGTGATGAAGTGCTTGCTGGCTTGCTACATATTGCCATCCCATGCATCAGCCCCGCCGTACGCACCATACATCCCCACCCCAACATTGCGATCATCAAAACACGCATCTTCTCTGCACTACCCGTATCGCATGCATGGTGTCGTTCACAAGAAGAAAATAGCCATGATCATGTGTTGTGAATCTGTGACATCCGCACACCACCTGACCACAAGCCCGCCAACACCATACCCCAGTCGGATTCCATCGCTACACCTGCACTCATGACGTGTAAAGTTAATCTCATGCCGCCTCATCACCCTCCCCCCAGTCCCCACAGCGAACGATATCAGCGCACGTGGAGCCACAAAAAACGTAGCGTGTTTTAGTGGAGATTTGAGGTCGGCATCGAGATTTACGGCGCTGAGGGAGAGTGTTTTGTGCAACGCGTGTTGCGCTGTTTGCTGTATATTGTGGGATGGGAGGGTGTGAGGGGGCCTGTGCTCAGCTTTCTGAGCGCAGGTTTGTGAGCGTTTGAGCCCAACGGTCAATTGAATGTGTGTGGTTGGATTGGACTCGTTGGTGTTGGTGGTTGATGAGTGCACACAGAATGAGGCGTGAGGGCTGGGGATATGCCGGGTGAGTTGGTCGTTTGGATGGCTCACATGCAATGAGTGCGTGCGTGGCTTCTTGTCATCTTGTGAGAGGGATGATGATATATACTGCCTATCTACCTTTTTCATGTCTACAACATACACAGATACATCATACTCCTCAAGCCAAACACTCCTCTCATTCTTACCCCAAACGCCCAGCCTTTCTTCACAATGGTGTTCATCCTCGAGACCCTTGCTGTTGCCTTTGTCGTCGTTAGCGGATTGAAGCTCACAGCCGTCGGTCTGGTAGTCAAGCGACTGAGGAAATACTAGGCGCTTTAGCCACCCATCTCAAAGACTCTTTGGATTGGAGAGAAAAGATAACGTCGACCGCCATCGTTTATGCCATAGCCCCACCGGATGGTGCGAGAGCAACGACGAAAGCGGATATATTACCCCGCAGCCGCAGCCGCACACCAGGGACGACCGACAGAACACCAAGGGCCCCCAACCCAAGATAACCAACCGACAACACCACGACAACTTATACTACAAACCTTCATCATGACATCGCCACCACCACCACAAACATTCACACAAATCCCTGTGCTACCACTCAGTGCGGCGCTCGATGAATCCACCAAGCCGCAGTTCCTACGCGACTTGCGCTCCGCACTGCTCAACGTGGGGTTTCTCTATCTGTCCGAGACAGGGCTGCCAGATCAGCTGATCAACGATGTAATACGCGAGTGTGGGAATTTCTTCGAGAAGCTACCGTTGAGCGAGAAGGAGAAGATTGAGATGAAGAACGAGAAGAGTTTCTTAGGCTGGTCGAGAGTAAGTTAGTTTTCTTGTCTACTGTCTCAAGGCGGGGAGGGTTGTGCAGAATAGTATGTATTGGTTCTATTAGGATCTCTATCACTATATGCTGCGCTATGCATCAAGGGGAGCTGTTGACGCAAAGGAAACTATGATACAAGAGGTGGAAGGAAGAAGGAAAGCCGGCCGTTGTACCCATGAGCGCGTAAAACCAAAATAAGAAAAGCCTTCCCCGTGTTTCCCCAACGCCCCAGTTCTCTACAAAAACAAACAAGTTATTCACCCGGGTATATCCCTATAAATACAGACGACGCCAACAATGTTTGTTACCTGCAATCGTTATATATCGACTCCTGCCATTACCCGTCCATCTCTTTTGTTCTCATGTTTTTACTCCATTCGCTTTTTGTGTTTCTTGTTTCTTCGTTCGTCTTAATCGTCGTCCGACCTCTTCCTTCGTAAAACGCATTGCTGACAGATTCCAACCCTCGTTAGCTCGATAATGAGACCACTGCGTTCAACCCAGACCATAGAGAACAACTCGATCTCTCCACTCCGCATCCTGTTCCAGGACCCGACGCCCCACTGTACCACAACCTTCTTGCGCCAAACCAATGGCCATCGCCAGAATATTTGCCAGCTTTCCGTCCCGTATATGAGGACTATATACGCCGCATGTCGCACATTTCCACACTGTTTACCTCGCTGATTGCCGAAGCCATCGGCTTAGCACCCGATGCGTTTGGAAAGTTCTTCGATCGGGACCAGCAGCACAAGCTCAAGATAGTAAAGTACCCTGAAGTAGATGTCCCCGAACTACCAGCGCAGGCGAGCGAAGTCGATCGAAAGAAGTGGGAGATTAAGCGCCAAGGCGTGGGTCCGCACAAGGATAGCATGCTCACCAGCTACCTCTTGCAAGCAAGCCCCCAGCTCGGACTGCAGGCACAAAACGCAAAGGGCGAGTGGATAGACTGCGCGCCAATCCCAGGCACGCTCGTGGTAGCGATCGGCCAAGGCATGGAGGCTCTAACTGATGGCGTCTGCGCTTCAACCACGCACCGTGTCCTCAGCCCACGCAAAGGCGAAGGCGCACGGTACTCGGTCCCCTTCTTCCAAGGCGTCAGCTATGACGCGCAATTTGAAGGCATGCAGGTGCCCGAAGACGTGCTGAAGCTGAGGGACGAGGCTCGCAAGAAGCGCAGAGACGACGTCGAGTTTACGTTTGTAAAAGGCAAGTGGGGACATCTCGGCGAGGCAACATTGATGAACAGGATCAAGAGCCACCCCGACGTCGGGGAGCGATGGTATCCACAGGAGCTGGAGCAGATTCGGAGACAACAAGCCGCAGCGCTATCATGAGGGCGACTCCAACTGCAGGCAGGGTACTAGGATAGTACATAGTACAGTCCACAATCAAACTCTGTCGCAACGGCTTGATGATGCGGTGAGAAGCCACGATGATGCGCCGCCAGATACGATGCGGTGTGCTGCGCCCAGGATACTGTGGCCCAAAGCGGACTCGCGTGACCCACAATAGCGTCCCGCGATGCGATTGGCCGGAAGCGTCCCCGAGCCCATGTGTTCGGATCCGCGGGAAGCCACGCATCGACTCCACCAGCTTCAGGGCTTCCAGAGCTTGCAGCCACCCAAATTTCTGCTGGGCTCGGCGTTTCGGCCAGTCCTAGGCAAGGCGGAAGCACTCTGTCTGTGAATAGTGCCGGAGTTGTAGCGATGGCATGGCAAGCCACAGGAGACGGGAATGTTGGGGCGTTGCTACCAAGAGGGTCCGGTGTACCGAAGGTTAAAAGTAGGGTAGCTCGTAGAGTTGGGTATTTGGCATCTCGTGTTTCAGCGCCACGCTAGTCAATCCGTAGGTGGATATTTTAGCAGACTTTTGGCACATGTGGGGCTAGCCTCTTTCCTCTTTTCCCTCATCTGTCTCGTACCCACGAGATCGACAGACGGCGCGTGGGCGATACGACGGACAGTCGGCAGTCGGGAAATCTCGGTTGTACTGCTTCATCCAGGACTCGTCTCGCTGCAATGCTCGGAGTAGCTGAAGCGAGAGCCGAAGCAGGCACGCGCGAATCTCGCGACGACAGTGTAATCCTTGGCCGCGGAGAATGGAGGATCCACGGAATGTTCCATTTCTCATTTCCACAATCGAAAGAAGCTTCCACCAGATCCACTTCTTCACCGTTCATCCTGCAAAGCCATGCGAACACAGTTGCCCAATGCGCCAGCTGTGGTGTGCCGCCAAGGGAGCCGTCCTTGGGTAACCAGGCGGGCGACTGCAATCCTGATCAAATGCCATAGCCCAAAAGTGGGGTCATCCGTGTCGCTGTTTCACTGTCGTTTATGCCATCGTGGGGGGCGCAACACAGGTTGAAGCGAAATTGTCAAAAACCGAGCCGTGGAAAACATGCACTGTGCGCACAGTGCCATGCTTCTAGTGTGCGTATTTCGAAGGATCGTGCCATGGTCGTCCCATGCATTTCCCGGAAAATCGCGTCTTACCATCATCGATGAGAGGCGGCCGAAGATACTTGTTTTGGAACGACGCTTGCGGAACATTTGGTCTGCAATCGCCGAAGAGCAAAGCCGATCGTGTTTGCGCCAAGTGACGTGCCGCGTGTCGAATGATTTGGAACAGGCTTGCGAGCAAACAAGTGCTTCTGTCGTCTTGGTAGGTCATGGATGAATGCAGCGGCTCTGAAGCCGTAGCCTCGAGTTGCTGGTATCCCTGCCAACGGTCTGCAGCCACGGAAGATTTGCGAACGGGCTGAACAAGGTGCATCAGCCAGAGTGCTCAACCTTCATGTTGGGTTGATACGGCTGGTACATGATGTGTTGCCCTTGCTCGTTCATCATCTGGGCCTGACCGTGCTGTGCGTGCATCATGGGCATCTCGCCGCCGTGGTTGCCTTGCGGTGTGTAGCCCTGCTGAGGACCGACCGGATACGAGCCGTAAGGCGCAGAAGTGTGGTGCTGCTGATGCTGGGGTGGGCCCTGGCCCTGTACAGGCTGGTGATGCATGGGTACGCTCATGTGTCGTTGGTACTCGGAAGCGTGCGGCGAAGGATGCGACGTCGGCGTACCATACCCTGACATTGGCATGGGCTGCGAAGTGACCATGGACGCATTCTCGAGTGGGTATGACATGGCTCGCGCGTTGCTTTCCATGACATATGGGCTGGGATATGACATGTTTGGCTGCTCAACGGCATGCACCGACGCATCTTGTACTGGCATCGAAACTTGATGGTGCTGTTGTTGCTGCTGGGGGTGGCCAGGATGAGGACTCCAGCGGACAGCCTCGTGCTGAGGCGCTTGCACTTCACCCATGGCAGGTGGCGTATCGACATGTGGCGACGAAACGTGATGAGCATACGTATGCTGCTGCTGCCAATGGCCCGGCTGCGAGACAGGCGTTGCTATTTCGGGCACAGAGTGAGCGCTCCTTGCCGTCCCCGTCGACATTCGCCGAGGTTGGCTGAGCATCTGGACGCGATCACTGGGTGAAGGTGCACCTGAAGATAGCGAGTTAGCCACTATGCATGTATATCACATTGGTTTGAGAATCAAAGACAATATGTTCTCGTCTCGCTCGGCCAACAAAAGAAATCGGACGTTACAGATGCTGCACGTCGCTAAATCGAGCGGAGAAACCGGATTGTGGAAAATGAGCAAAAAGGAAAAGGTGGTGATGTGACGAAAAGAGGCTCGGCTGCACCAAAACGGTTGCGGGCCGAGACACCAAAAAGCAAACCAACATGACGCGAACAGCGTTGCAAGCAGAACAATTGGACAGTGCTTTTGTGAAATCGATAATAACCACATACCTGCTCCTTGTTCCGGGACGCCTAGGGCTGAGACTGCGTGTGACAGGCGCGAGCGGAGGACGGCGTTCTCTTGCTCCAACTCTTCGTTCCTCCTGATGAGGTCCATCATCTTGGTGGACGAGTTGTTCTCGAGCTGTGCTGTCAGGTCGCGAACTTGACGCTCGAGAGTGTCGATGTGGTCCTTTGTTCTTTGGCGGATGGCCCGTTGTGCTTCTCGGTCGTTTGCCCTCTTGCGTTCCAGCTGAGCAGCAGTCAGAGTAGTGACACTGCGAGTGCCTGCTCTTGAAGGCCGCTTCTTCGCACCGGGAGTCAATTGCCTGGCTTCTGAGCCAGACGAGTGGCCCTCGTACGGCGGCGAGCGCTTCTGCTGGTCCATGTGAGGCGAGTGGTAACTAGAGGTACTCATCAGGTCGCTCCGGTAGGCGTTTGGGTCACGATAGTGGAGAATGGAAGTCATCGAGGATCCGCGAGAGGCGGTGAGAGTATATGCGATGTCGAGGTTGCTATGTCAGCGGGGGCCCAAACAGAGGCGGTCCAAGCGTTTGGCAATGTAAAAGTAGGCGTCTGTGAGGGATGGGTGTTCCCGGACTCGAAAAAAGAGGGGACCAGTGACGAGGGCGAGCGTGAATGCGAGCCGTGTCTGTCTCGGGCCCTGGAGGAGGTGATGATGTCAGGCAAAGTAGTGACAACAGGAAGAAGTGAAGCGAGAGGCCTTGACTTTTAAAAAAGGGACGACGGGAAAGGTGTCGAGACAGAAGGTAACGATGCAAGACATGGCAGGCATGAGTCTATAACCTGCTATCAGGACTGGTGAATAGCGTACTTTGCGTCCCATGCTTGGACCCTAGGCTAGCGCCAGCATCCTGATCCTGATCCTGGCCAGCAGTGGGTAGACCACACAACGTGGGTTCTGGGGAAATCGTTTCACTTTAGCTCCTACATTAGTGGCTACTTGTGAGGCTTGAGACCTGGCCGCTGCTGGGGTCTCTTCGGGCAACAAGCTCTGGGTAGCTCGTGCACGCGTCCAAGGATTATTTTTTGCGGCATGCGGCAGAAACTCTCAGGTCCCCAACGGCGGTGGCAGAGGGGCTTTGAGGAGCCAGGCCCTGCATCTGGAGCAACTATGACGGCTCTTCTGGAAAGGGACTACAAGCCTTAGGCTGGGACATTGGACCCCACTAAAAAAGTGGCATGGCCGACTTCCTGCGCAACACGCTTCGGCCCACCTGACGTCGAGGGCTTGGTTGGAGGGGGGGGAGGGGGCAGCAGAAGAGTGCCGTGGGTCTGGCTGGGATGAAGGTTTACAAGACGGTCAACGCATAAGACGGCAAGACATGGTTCAGATGTCGCCATGGCCGGCTGCCAGTCACAAAGCTGGTCGTGTTTGCGGACCGTAGCGAAGTTGGGACGACAGGCAAGGCCGACACGGGCGAATTGTGACGTTTGAGGAGCGTAGGAGGGTATGGCGTGGGCAGGCTGGGATGACACCGGCCAGTGTGAAGGGAGCGCTTGACGGTGCAGGCCCCCGGCTGCGCTAAGAGGGTCAGCACGTGGAAGCCCTGCATGGTGAAAATTAGCCCGAGAATCAGGCATGCACATGCTTCCTCTCTCTGTTCCCCCCTGGCGACGACAAGGCCGCTCCGGTCGCAGCGCCGCCGTGCGCTGAGCGTCTCGCAAATGCATGCCTCGAGGGAAAAGGGTCCGCTGTGGATCTTCCAGCTGTATTGAGACGTAGGGGTGCAACCTGGACAGCCAACGTCGATCATGCCGGGGCCTTTGGCTCCGCGAACACTGGCGCTGGCTTGTCCAGGAGCTCCCAGTTGCGTCGAGCAGGTCCCGAAGTATTGCCATGGCGGATGCATGTTGTTTGTTGCGGGCGCGCGCAGTGAAATATCAAAACAATCGAGTGCGAACACCTCACCTCCTACTGAGTTACTCTCTGAATACCCGCGGTAAGACGTGCTTGCCGGCACGGGCGCGCATCATACTGTACGCGTGATAGGACGTGCAAACTCTATCGAAGGCCCCTCCTGGGGGTGTCGCCGTGTGCTGGCCATGCATAGCGACCGTGTCTCCATCGGGCGTCCTGCAGACTGCAAAGACCAAAAGGCCATGGTCGGCACGTGGAAGCATTCGACAATTGCTCCGCCATTCGCAGGGCTCGCATTGCCGACTGTCGGACTGCAGCAAAGGGCCGGAGAGTCCGTGATTGATGATTGATGATTGAGGCTCGCCACAAGCAACCTCGTCGATTCCCAAACGGGCCAGCCCAGGCCGACCACACCAACCACACCGACCACGTCAAGTCCCAAACAGGCAGTGACGGAGCTTTGAAAAGATTGGTGGATTTGATTCATGGATTCATCATGGATCGATGCATCGCTGATTGAATCGCAATCATGACCCCCATGGTGATGGCATTAGCTACCGTACCGGTACTGGTACAGTAAATTTCCGCAATGTCCACCACCACCACGCCTCCCGCACGCCTACGCTCACGCCCACCCACCAGCCGATCTACTGCGCTATCCTGCTCATCCTGCTCATCCTGCCTATCCTTCACATCCCCCAGCATTCGATAAAGCAAGAATCCTCCGAGCAACCTCACCGCTCCATACACCACCCGGCACACACCCGGCCTAGCCACCCTCTTTCCCAGCCGCACCACTCTCTCCTTGGCGCCGTCTTTGGTCAACAGCCCATTTCGGCACCTGTTTTGCAGCATTGAAAACGATGCATGTCGGCAGCACTAGGCTAAGCAGCCGCCAGCCGCCAGCCGCCATGACAGAAAAGGACCGGAGCGCGCGATCCTCATGCCTTGCTCATTCTCCTCCCACGCAGCATCTCGCGATGCACCAGCAGGCAAGCAAGCAAAATTGCAACTGCACCTATTTGTAGCCTGCATCGTAGCCTGCAACCGGGGGCAAAGTGGGGAGGAAGGATCCGATTACGCCGCACCACATGCAACGTCCATCTGATTGGGGTTAGCAGCAACGTTATTTGACGTCCAGCAGGCGCGGTTGCGTATACTTGAGACGGCGACAGCTGTATCTTGTCCGAAAGCGTCCTTCATTTCCAGCGCCTTCTCCATCCTTGGCCTCAGGTTTCGGTGTACAACTCCAAGAGCTGGCCTCGATCAGAAGCCGGCAACTCTCGCTAGCCTCATTTTCCACTACGCACTCCCTACGTCAATGCCGTCTGGAGCTCGCCAAACTCGCACAAGTCTTAGCGTCAATAAACTCACTGTCCATGCAAATATTCTAGCCTTGTCGCCGTAAGTAGCCCAACCTCTACACAGTTAGGTAGCGGGCTGAGATGATGCCACTCGGAAAGACTACACTTGGGACGCTTTAGGGCAGCTGTTCCGACAGCGGTGCGAGCAAGCCTCGAGGGTTAATGCCCTCGTGATGCTAGCGCCCTGCATACTACCATTACCAGAGACGACTGAGTAACGTGCTCGTGATAAGACGCCAGATGCTGTTCCTGAGCCCACCCTGCATGCCCTACCATGTTCATAATGACGACTTTTGTAAAGCTAGTGCACGCCGCCCTGTCCCCTACCAGACGTTGATCATGACCCCATCCGTCGGCTGCGGTATCGTACCTGACGGCTACTATACGTGCAACTCCATGCCTGATGGCACGTCGTGCGTCGTCCTCCGCGCGGCTTCTTATCCCACCCTGTAGTGTATCGGAACTGAATATATGGCCGATCTGGGCCTGCTGTGTGACGACGGATCTAAGCTGCTGTGTCACCAACCAGAAGCAACTTAATTCTGACCGCGAGGGGCCTGGCGGGCGCCGCCATCGCTACACCTGTCTTACTCGTACAATCGTACAATGGTCCGGCTGCAGGTATGCTTGGTTCAGCTATGCAAACGCCAACCAGCTACCGCGAAACCACGGGTGCGACACGGATTGCGCAAGTAGACCTGCATCGGCCGCATAACATAGTTACCTGGCCGCAATGTTGGATTTTCTCCATGCCTCGCATCAATTGCCGATGGGAAAAGAGTAATGCACTCTGCCGCGGCCGCTCGTTCGTCATCAAGGCTTCCAGAATCAAACATCCAAAACTTACTTCGTTACCACACCACACCAACTACCGGTAACTACTCGTCCACTCAAACAAGCCACCTCAAAATCAGCCGACATGCACATGCAACCACAAAATCCCTCAATCCATCCCACCTTTATCCATCTCTCGTCTGCAGCACCGAGGAAAATCTCGCTTTGCCTCATACGAAAGTTTAAAACTCAAAATAAACAGTCGACACACTCTCCCCTTGCAACCGCAGTCCATTTTTAGCGCCGCGTCCAGGGCAGGAACCTCTTGCTCTCTCTGGGCGTGAGCGCGTCTAACCAACGTCCTAGTCTGAAACGTACTCGTTGGAATTTAGAGTTTGGCGGGACTACATTACCCCAACAAGGATTGGAGCCCACTTTCTTTACGCTGCTGCAAAGGCAACCACTCCAATGCGAGTCGCCGTGTGGCCCCTTGTCCCCATTTCCCACGGCCTCGCTAATGCTACAGCTTCGCTCCCTCCCTCACCGATCACGCTTTACGATTCGTGCCAAGCCATGTTGCCTGGTTGCGCCATCACACACTTTGTTCCCTTGACCTTCTAGCCTGAGGGCTAGAAGGCGGCGGATAGCGCAACTAAGGGAATGGGTGAAGGGGGGAATCCGGCATTTGTGTGCTGGCCGTACCTGGCTGAATCGTATTCGCTCTCTCTTTCTTGCGCATCCCCGTCGTCGTCGTCTCCGCAATCGTGCGTCGTGCAATTGCGAATGCGAGATCTTCACAGGCCTCCCATATACCCATGTTCTCGACTGCCCTTTCTTGGTCAACCTACCAACTTGAAATGTACGCCATCTGTGGGGTACATGGCCCAAAGGATATACCGTGTGCCGGCTTATTCACGTTGGTAGTTGAGTTTGGAAATGTGAAGGGGTTGCAGAGAAGGCAGGGGGAAGAGCGAAGCCCGCTCATTCGTTCGCATCACTACTACCTCAGCTCTGCATGCATCTTCCCTCCACCACCACTACCACGCCTCCACAATGTCATCGAGATGATCTGTATCTGGAAGTGACAGCCAAGCAGGATCTAGGTCTTTGCGCAGATGAGGAGTTCGCCTTAACACGGCATCCACACTGCGACGCTCGCTCAAGCGAGAGATGTGCGCGCAAACCCCTACTATTACCCTGACACACAGACATGGTGCAATTACTCCGCTTCTAGACGGCATCTGAAGATGCTGAAAATTCGAGATTGAAGATCCATCTATCGCAGACTAACAAGGACTTCGCACAGGTACCGCATCCGCGCACTAATTTCCCAAACCGGTCCTGGATATACCGTATACGATACGCTCTGCTCCACTGTCCATATGCGACGCTAGAAGAATGCTAGAAGAGCTGACCAAAAGCTGACCCATCATCCACTCTGATTTGATGGCAAGCATACCCGGCTACACCGTCATACGCCACATCCGTCCCGCATCTGGACTACTCCTTTTTGATATACTTTTCAAAGATTTTCGAGATCTCGCGTGCGCTCTTCTTCGGGTATCGCTTCTGCCCGCCCTTGTAATCGACGTAGGTGACGCCGAAGCGCGTCGTGTAGCCCTCGGCCCACTCGAAATTGCTACATACAGAAGAGTAAAACGTCAGCACTAATTCAGGGTTTTCGGTTCTTGCGGCGGGGGGAGGGGGAAGGATTCATGCGTTTCGGAGCTAGGAGAAAAGATTCGTTCTGCCTCAGGCATGACCCGATACGGAAACGGGTGAGTACTATGTGCGGACAATTTTTTGTTTTCATGCCGAAAGCCCCGAGGAAAAAGTAATGTACTAGGCGTGAAATGAAAAAGGGTGGTGTGGGCTAGAATGATGCAACTCAGCTGAAAGGGAAGGATTTGACGTACTCCATGAGACTCCAGGCGGAATAACCCCTGACGTCGACTCCATCCAAGGTATGGGCGTCGGCCAAGGCTCCAATGTATCCCCGAAAGTACTCACAACGGAACTCGTCGTCCAGCAGCTGGTCCAGAGGCAGATCGTTTTCGCCTTTGAGACTGGTACCGTTTTCTGTCACATAAAAGGTCGGGCCGCCGTACCGGTCACTCAGCCACTTGATCAGCTTCCTGAAGCCCAAGGGCATTGGCCGAAGCCAGACGGATTGCGTCTCTGGGCCGATCCATTCGCCCTTCTTGTTCTGGTAAAGAACATCCAGGTTGCCAGCGTGATCGTCCAGTTCTGGCTCAGTGTCCCTGTGCCTAATGTAGTTGGCACAATAGTGGTTCATGCCATAAAAGTCATTGCTACCCTTGACAAGAGCCGCTTCTTCCGGCGTGAATTGAGGCAAGCGATCGCCTAGCTGCTTGCGCATCGAGTCCGGATACTTGCCAAAGTAAACTGGGTCGCCAAACCAGCAGATCGCAAACTCAATCTTTCGATCACACGCCTCGCGATCCTTTGGATCTTCCGGGTCCCACGGCTCAGTCCAGTCACCTACACCGCCATATCAGTTATTGAGTTTCATAGTCCAAGTGGTGTGAGTGGTCTGAGATTGGAGAGCGGTTGTCTGCGAGACTCCCCCGCGCACAGACTCTGCCTGCGTGGGAGCACATAGTCACACGGAATACGAGGCACTACACGATGATCGCTTACCGTTGAGTGTGATACCAATCTGGCCTCCGTCCTTGGCCTTGAAGTCGTCACGGTATGCCTTGACAGCCGCACCATGGGCAATGAGGAGTGAGTGGCCGACGATCCACGGCTCCCTGGAGCTATCGCCTTCTGCGCTCTTGCTTCGGTCACTGCAACGCCCCGGAGCGAAAAGGCCAGTGCCATAACCGAGAATGGAGCTGCACCAAGGCTCATTGAAGGTGATCCAATATTTTACCTTCGAACCGAAGGCTTTGAAACACACCCTGGCGTAATTTTCGTAATCCTTCACGAACTCGTCTTTGTTAAGCATGCCCCCATATCGCTTGTGCAAGTTGTCGGGGAGATCCCAGTGAAAAAGCGTTATCATCGGTTCAATGTCTGCGGCACGGAGGTCGTCAACCAGCTTGATGTAGTATTGCAGACCTTTCTCGTTCACGGGATCGTCACGTCCGCCGAGAGGGATGATACGCGACCACGATAGAGAGAAGCGGTACGACTTTGCGCCGATTTCCTTCAAAAGAGCAATGTCCTCGTCAGTGCGGTGGTAGGAATCGCAGGCCACATCGCCAGATTCCCCACCAGCAATTTTGCCCGGGATGCGGCAGAAGGTGTCCCAGATGGAATCGGCGCGGCCATCCTCATGCGGCGCGCCTTCGATTTGGTAACTGTAGGTTCAAAACTCAGTATGTGACAACAATGTGGCCCCCAAAACTATATGGTGGCGGGGTAACATTTCTGAGTGGGAAGAAGGTCTGGGTCGGGCGAACCTTGCTGTTGCAAATCCCCACAGGAAATCTTTGGGCAAGTACGACTGCGACATGTTTGCTCAAGCAGTCTTTTTGGGTTCAAGGAAGATTAACGTTTGGCAATTTACAAAGTCAGAAGGGCGAACTAGCAGCGGGACACATATACTCATGTACGTTTGTGATGGATGCGGAGGACGTCCCGCCCTAACCGTCCTCACGCCGTCGACAAGACATCTACGAGGCGCGGCAAGACACATGAGGAACTTGGTACCGTTCCGTCATGCTCAGCCGGCCGGTTAGTCAATTTTTCGAGCCCTCAATGGCTCTTGCCGACGGCTGACCCCACTCATCATCACCACGTCTGGGGACTATAGCTTCATCGCACATGACGACGCTGTACTTTTGCGTCCATTCTGCCCCCCAAGCCTCACGATGACCAAGGCGGTCAGTGGCATGACGGGCCGTCGATTCAGCCTGCCCATTAACCTGCTAGGCGTGCGAAGTCATCGTGGGGAAGTGGAATGGCGGGGTATCTGGGCAAGTTGACGCGCTTCTCTGCTTTCCGACGACCTTCACCCGTATGGTGCGCCGAGCAGAGCATTCCTCCTCTGCTTATTCGCGAGTACCGGAGCTCGTGACGAAACAACATGGAGAACGTCGGAAGCCTTGCTCTTGAAGTGGTGACGATTACGAGCATGGGGCACGGGTAGAGCTGACAGATTGCGCTAAACTTGATGCAGGAGAGCTTCCGTAGGTACAGTATCTTTCTACCATGGCTTGGCTGGAGATTTTGTCGGAACTACACCAGGGCCTCGTAACACAACAGCGTAAGCAGGAGATATATAATGGCGGGTCGCTGGGGATAGGAATGCTATGCGCGCAGCATTGGTCAATCACATAGCCGCCAATCGAGCTTCTACGATGTTTTCCGCAATTCGAAGAATCCCATATCCGACAAGACGCGCCGCGACACAATTGCGCACAGTCGCGACACAATCTCAGAAGCGCGCGGGTGATATATCAGACGCTTTTGCGTCGCTTTCTGGCCACGACTTCAAGCCTCTAGCGCCTGGATATGCCGCCATCAAAACCCGACTGATCCAGGGATACGAAGACCAAGTACGGGAATCATGGGAACGCCTCCTCCGAAGCCTGCAAGAAGAGATACCGCTTATCGTCGAGCTCGGTAGCAAGGTTATCCCAGATATCGATTTCAAGGACATTGACAATGCGCCCGAAGCCTTTAGCAGTGAATTACGGAAGAGAGGCGTAGCGGTTGTGAGGGGTGTAGTATCAGAGAAAGAAGCGCTGCAGTGGAAAGAGGACTTGAGAGAGTACATCCGCCAGAATCCTCACACCAAGGGTAAGTCACACCCAAACTACCCATATACCCATGATTAACAGCTTCACAGCATACCCCACCGACAACCCCCAAGTCTTTGAACTCTACTGGTCGCGCAGCCAGCTTCTTGCACGCGGCCATCCGAACCTCCTCAAGACACACCGTTTTCTCATGTCATACTGGCACAGCGCAAACCCCCATGTCCCCCTCTCCACAAAACACCCCATAAGCTACGCCGACCGCCTCCGCATGCGTCAACCCGGCGACGCCAAATTCGCACTAGGACCACACGTCGACGGCGGCAGCGTAGAACGCTGGGAGGAAGAAGGCTACGGGCTCGGAAAAGTCTTCGACGCAATCTGGCGCGGGAAATGGGAGTCGTTCGACCCCTGGGAAGCGACATGTCGTCTCCCCGTCAACGCCGACCTGCACCAAGGCGTCGGCGCCTGCAACGCTTTCCGCATGTTCCAAGGCTGGCTCTCCCTCTCCACCACAGGCCCACACGAGGGAACCCTCCTCGTCAACCCGCTCCTCGCAAAAGCAACAGCTTACTACCTCCTCCGTCCTTTCTTCTCCCCTAAACGCGGTGTCACACAGCCCAACGCGCAAATAGCCTCGGAAGCGGACGCTACAGCACACACGTCGTCTTTCCTAGACCCAGATAACTGGATACTAGATTCACCGCAAACCTCCTGGATGCACGGCGCTACACCAGGCCACGGCCAGGAACTCTCTCACCTCCTCCACCCGCACCTCCGTCTTCAGGAAAGTATGATTCATATTCCCACTGTTCGACCAGGCGATTACGTCGCCTGGCACTGCGATACCATACACGCGGTTGACAAGACACATGCTGGCTCCGCTGACTCGACCGTCTTGTATATCCCCGCTTGTCCCATGACGGAAGATAATGCGAATTTTCTTGTGAGGCAGCGCGGGTGTTTTGTTGAGGGTACACCCAGCCCGGACTTTGGCGGCGGCGTGGGTGAGAAGGGACACGTGGGGCGGGTGGGTGTGGAGGATATGGATGCATTGGTCGGGGAGGAGGGGTGTAGGAGTTTGGGGTTGGCGGAGTGGGATAGTGATGCTGAGGGGTTGGGTCCTGGGGAGAGGGTTATTTTGGATAGGGCGAATAAGATTTTGGGGTTTTATGATTAGGGGGAAGAGGGAAAAGGGGGAGGTGGCTGTATAGCAGTATTCTGGGATTGAGATATCTTTGACGATTTGGACTAGAGATGTAGACGCATTGCAGTTCTGGTAACCCTCCTTACAACAACAACAACAACAACAACGACAACAACCTCAGCGTCATCCCGTAACCTCATCCCTATTCTCTTATAACTTAACTTATTCTACTCTTTCTCCATACTTCTTCCCCTTCTGTTACTGATAAACAACATGCCTAATCTTACATCCCTCCCCTTCTCCCCTTCTATTATTATTTATGTATTCCTTCTTAACCTATCCCTACCTCTCTATATCCTTTCTCTTCTATATAAGCACTAGCACTCCCACTCAATCCCACCACGCTAGACCCTCGACTCTGAACTCTAAAACCCCTTTCTATCATAGACTAACGTGTAATGTTGGGTTCATTGCCTAGCGTGGTGGATTGGACAGGTTGAGTAAGGGAGGGTTGGTGTTGTTGTCTGTAAAGGTGGGGTAGAAGGGGTGTGGGTGGTTCGGAGGGTGAGTGTAGGAGTGGAAGAAGGATAGGAATGGAAAGAGAGAAGAAGGCATATAGTACTGGTTATGTGGAAGTAGTAGGGTGGTGATTGGGTGTTTGAGATTCAAGATGATTGGATAAGAAACACGCGGGTGTAGTTTTGGTTAAAATGATGTTCTGTCTAGTGCGCGGGGAAGTAGTGTCTACTTTACCTTCTCCATGTCGAGACGCGCGATTTTATATCATAGGACTAACACTACCACAGGAATACGTTGTGTTGCTATCAGATGTGAAAAGGGCATTGTATGAGCGACGTCGTGTGCTGAAAACCCAGAGAAAGAAATATCATGTCAAAAAGCAGGGAATCTGCTACTACCTCGACCTCTTCGCCATGCCCAACGAAAATTCTATTCTGCCGTTACCTACGCACAAGATTCATTTCGTCGTCGCTTTTGTATTCAAAAGGGCGGTACCAACGCTTTCAGAAGATGACTTCGCTGTTTCCATTCGGGCCAATGCATGTCGCGCAAATCTTTCCAGGCATGCACCAAATCGGACGGGTAGCGGCTGCGCGCTGTAGGGTTGAGAGTAGTGATGCTCCTCTGGGAGCCCAAGACATTGATCTCGGCTGCGCTGAGATGTCCATGGCGGAAGGCGTACGTGAGCGACCAGCTAGGATAGATTGAGTTGAGTAGCTTTCCGTGGCCATTGATCCAGATCTCCCACGGTAATGGACTTCGACCAGGATGCGGTCTCTCGATCACGGGAAACTTTCTCATCTCGCTGATCATGTCTGAGAACAGGAGAAACAGTTGTCGCTGGAGCTTGGCGATGGATATGGTGGTTTGTTCTTGCCAGCCAGAGGGGCAAATGAGCGTCAGCTTGATGGTCGCTTTGGGATGTAATTTGCAGTTGAGGAGCAGCTCCATTAACTTTTCAATGTTGATCTTGACATCGGACAAAGTCGCAGCGTGTTGAGGATATATTGTCAGTGACAGGATGAGGGGCTCGTCATCTATCTTCACCATGTTGATCATGCTTTCGAAGATCTTTGGTCCATTATCACTGGTGGTAAGGGAGGACAGATGTCCGAAACCATTGAAGTCGGTAACAACCGTGTCACTTGTCGCTTGTATTGTGACATGGTTCGTGTGCGAAATATTACTCCCGAATGTCGTGTTGCTCAGCGCGAACTTGCTCCGCTGAAATAGGCCGGTGTTAACACCGTGCAACGTGCGTGTATCTAGGTCGAACGTGACACCGTCGGGATTATAGCATGCGAATCTGTATATCCGTGACATGATGTGCGGGGGCATATCGGTGAGTTTTGGTGGCGTACGTGGTGTCCATGCCAGATGCCTGCCTTGCGATGAAGCTTCGAAATTGAAAAGTGTAAAGCAATGGCCTTGTATATTTGAGGGAAACGGTGGATGGGATTGTTAAACTTTACGAAGCCTCGTGCTCTAGTGTTGGGGACTTCAATAGACTGTAGAAGCCGGTTGGAGATGTCGAATCTTCGAAGGTTGAGGGCGTCCCTCTCCACAAATGCCGCAAGTAGGTTATTGAATACGTTTGCGCGAATAACGCTAGATGTCTCTTCTTCTGGGGGCCCGTATGCATTAACCTGTAGCGATCCACAATTCTGCCACTCTGTCCACAAGTGACAACATCTTTCATACTCGGATTATGCCAGAGGAAACGCACCAACGGGAGAATATTATACACCTCTGAACTGTAGTCGCATTTAACAGGGCACAGGGTGTCTGTGTCAATAATGACCTTCCGAAGCAATTCAGCTTGCGAACCAAGGTTCGACAGGCAATGAGCCGCATGTATGGGTGGCAAGTATTCCTGATGTTCATATATCGATGTATCATATGTATCGGTTTCGTCATGCCGAATCACAGCCCGGGATATGATGAATGAATTATGGCCATACAGTACACCAGAAGCCTCGTGATACAACTGACGACACGATGACAACAAGGCAAGCCCATCACCGAAATTATGACGGAACTCTTCATCAAGTCCGGCATCTTCCTCATAACTTTCCCAATACTCCCTCATATTTTGCGAGTAGGCGTCGTCGGTATGAGGCCATTGCAGCTGGCTCGGCTCTTCTGGATGGAACGCTGCAGCGTTGTGAAGCAGGATGGGCTTGTCTTTCTTGAACAAAAGTTCATATATCGAACTGCGCATCTCCGCTGGAAGTGTAGTGAGGAACGAAGCTTCCTCCGCGTCCATCGGAACGGAATCAGCTTTTGGGATCTGCATCATATCGACGGAGTAGCTGCCTAGGATAATTGCAACGGAGGAATTTGTGGTAGGTTCTAGATGGTTTGTTGTTGATGAAGGTAAGCTCTGATTGAAGCGTTGGCCCTAGGTAAGTGAGGTAGTTACGTACGGTATCCCTCGGACCGGAACAACGTAAAAGCCGAAACCCACATGAACATCGCAGTGCAACGCTCTTCCTTTCCTCACATTATCCTGACACGTTAGCATGCGTAATTTCACGGCAATGCTTGCCGAGTAGACGGGAAGCGTGAGGTCCGACAAAAGCAATTAGAAGGGATAGGAACCTTCCAAGCATGCACGGGAAGGATTCTGGCTAGATACCTAGATGTACCGCTCTGTCGTGCCAAAGTTGGACTCGACCACGGCTTCCAAGCCTAGGGCATGTTTCCGGTATTTCATCTGCTTTATGAGGGAAATATAGTTGCTCAACATGCAAAGCACATGGAAGAAGTATACTTGTTCTCAGTCACGACCTTCGGAGCGCAAGTATGAAAAAGCTCGGTAGAGCTCTCGTCACAATTATGTAATCGACGGGGTTTCATTTTGGTACGACCCGTTGAGATGCCTGAACCCAACTTTGCGACGACTTGTAATCTGAACCTCACGTTACAGTGCAGCCAAATCAGCATAGACAGACATGCCGCATCGCTATCCGGATACTGCATGAACTGGAAAGAAAATTTTATATATCCCGGCAGTCTGCGAAGAACTGGCTATTGATTGTGAACAAGCTTTCAAAGATATTCAGGAAGTAACTGCTGTACATGCTAGCGGGTCGTGGGGAACCAAGGTTCGCTACCCTCCTCTGGAAGGTATTTTTAACACAAAGGCATCTACGTGCACTCGTTGTCTTCTAATATCATTCTACATCCTTCATATTGCTTCTCCAAGACATTCATCAACATCATCTTTACACCATGAAGTACTTTACCATCCTACTCTTCCTCAATGCTGCTGTTCCCGCTGTTGCCTGGCCAATAGTAGACAACACATGTTGGGTGAGCGCGTACCGATGCGCCAGCAACCCACGCAGATCCTGGTTCGACGATCCCCGAACGCTAGATTGCTGTAACCACATAGGACACAGTATGTGTGACTGCGGCAACAAAAAGCAGGGAAGGTATTGCGATGGGGTTGGATCACCGTGGATCGACCACTTCGAAAAATGCTGTGCGCCCTTTCCAGCTTTCTCCATCTCCCCACTCGAGGGTTGTTCATCGTAAGACCAAGAAAAGAACACCGTCATAATATAGATAGCTAATTCATATCTAGGTATCCACTATTATCAAATTCGACAAGCGACATCTGGGACGGTTTGCCGGGGACATCCGAAACTACCGCGCACAAAAGACATCAAGAGATTACATCGACGTAGCAAATCCGCAATCCAAGAGAATCCTCAGCCTGAGATTATACATGGAGCGGAAGAGACGCTTGGCATTTTGTTCTTACCGACGTCAAGTTCTATACTGCAGATTCGAGCGGTACGATAGTTGGGCTAGGGTTTGATGTTTTAGGGGAAACGACACTTTCTCTATTCATGTTTGGCTAGAACCATTCTCACGATAGTTTTGGTAACGAGTAAAGATTTGAGTGTCAGAACATGCTAGCTGCTCAGAACTTGCATTTATGAAGCACCTGCTGTCGTTCATGTACGAATTCATAGTTTAAAAACTACAGAGCGCGTGGGAGTCTGTCAGGGGCACATCGGAAGATCGGCACGCAAGCCTTGATGTTGTGGATAATGTTGTGAATGAGAATGCATAATGTTTTCGGCTGGAGAGAGAATTTGGTTGGGTTTCCATATTAGTCCTGTATTAGCCAAGAGTAATGACAAAACGATCCTCTGGCTCAATGTCGTTACTACTAGTCTATCTCTTTTAAACTGCGTAAAATCGGAGCGTGGTCCGATAGCTGAATGCAACTAAAGTATTACCGAAATCTGCCGTTACTTTATATGCTCGATATGGCAGTGACACAACAGCGGAGGAATGGAGCTGTCCGAGAAGATGCCTCGCAATTACTCTACACGAAGCAAGAGCCACAAGACAACGTTGACGCGTTTCAAACACCGAGCTGTGAGCAAGAAGCTACAAAATTACTGACGGAGGATACCCGTGGAGCTCTAGCCATCGTGCCGCATATATGGCAAGACCTCGTACCAAACAAAGCCTGACTGGAAGTCCATGAACCCCAAATGATGTTAAGTAGGCATTTAGAGGCGAGAGACACTGATTTCTGCGCATCTAGTCAATCGATTGCTCTCCCGTAGCCCCTCCAGTATTGTGGCTTGCATCAACCTGTAGTCAAGGTCTTGGCTGCTCGGCTTGACAGCCCTCCGCCATTTGCCTCGGAACCTGTTCAGCGTTAAAGCATCTTATTGGCAGTGGTTTCAACACCGATAAATGGCAAAGGATCCAAATCTTGGTGTTGCCCGATATTTGACGCCTAGCGGGATGGATCGGAAAGTCAAGCTGAGTGCTGTGAAGTTGCCTCGGTATGTCGTATTCTTAGCAATACGGCGTATGTTTTGGTCGCATGTTAGATTCTGAGACACTTGTGTGTCTAGGCCATAAGGCTGAGACTAGGAAGCCTCGGTCCTTACGCCTGGATCTGGCTGTTAATTGGATCCCTGTGGGGAACCTGAAATCCGGGGAAGCGACCGATCCGGCTTCCAAGCACCGGGATTCGATACTATGATCGCCACCACGCTTTCTTTAAGGTTTTCCGGGACATTTGACTATGCTAATATCCTCATCAGGTGGATTTCTTAACACAAATCTTCTCATCGGGGCGTTAGCTTGAGCATGCATTTCAATAGCAGTTACTTGGCACGTTATTGTAGTCTGTGGAGTTTTTCGAGCCGCTTCTTCCAGGTTGGAGTAGCAATGGGGCAAGTCTTTGCAAGCCAGAAGCCTCCAATTGCCTAATTGTGCCACGATGCAGCCAGACGCAAGTGGACACCTGCCATGCCTACGGTTTTGCAGCCAAGGAACCATCCAACCGGTCTAACCGAGATCCTAGATGACTGGGTCGGAATTGCATGGATGTCTGATCTATCGACCAGGGAAGCAGCGTAGTCAAGGTACTCCTGTCAACACCGAAGATCCTCGGTATGTATAAGAACGGCTATACGAACTTCGGGAGCTTATACTGCGAGGCAAATTGCTTAAGACCAACGCACTCGTTGGCACTTGCTGCGCAGGACCCTTGCATACGTCCTACACACGAAGGAACCTGGCACTGAAAGTAATGTTAATGAAACACTTCCAACTATCCTGCTGCCGTGCTCGCGGACATTCGCGGATGTACGCGCTGTGGCAATCTTCCTGCGTTAGAAATTATGAAAGTAGACTCTTCCGTGTCAAGCTCAAGCCAACGATCAAGATGACGGCGAGAATACACTGCCAAGTGACCGGAGGCTTGGAACGGCATGGAGCGTCAACGCCCCTTGGTCGCATGCGGCTCCAGCCCACCCACGCGTCGAAGCATTGCGGAGGAACTGCCTACTCGGGTCAAGATCTAGACAGAGAAATATGCCTAGGTAGGTGGAGCGCTCCAAAAAGACGCCCTATTACCCCGCGTATGGCTGAAACGACCTCACGTGCACATCGCTTAGCGATCACCTCGCATGATGATGAAGTCGAACAAAGAGAACAACATGGACCGAAGTTTTGCCAAAAACCTCGATGTTCTCCACGTGCGCAGCTCCACTGCAGCGGATAACTAATGACAAGTAGCATGGCGATGGACAAACTTCTTACGTTCTTCAGCTGGCTCGTAGTGGGCCCCGAACAAACGGTGGCGGTCGCTAGCCTGCGGGGTCTCCACATGCCAAGCCTCTCCCCAGCTTTTCTAGCCCTTCTCATTCTTGTAGCTCGCACGGCGTTCTTTCTTCTTTGGAAGGGCTGTGGAGTGGTTGAGTAGTGAATTGGTGAATTAGTGGTGGCCGTTCGTGCCTCGGTATTTTTGTGAAGGACATGGCTCCCGACATGGTCACTGCGTCTGGCAGGGTTGGTATAATGGCGGGGAGAACAAACAAATATATGCTGTGACCTCAGTCTCCATTCCAGGCTCCTCAATTCTCTTCTTTCACCCTTGGTCCTCTCTCAATCTCCAATCCGCCATGGCTTCCGCACAACCCGCCATGCACCACGACGAGATGCTCGAGAAGCAACACATATCGCATAATGAAGACATTAGCTCCCAAGATGGTTCCGGATATGAGTGCGAGTTCAGTGAGCGAGAGCAGAAGAAAATCATCCATCGCATTGATCGACGTCTCGTGGTGACTGTCGGTGTGCTGTACTGCATCAGTCTGATGGACCGAACCAATCTGAGTGCTGCCGCTATTGCTGGGTTCGTAATCAAACCGTTGCAAAGGGTTCCCTTTGAAGCTAACGCCGTCTAGTATGACCGTGGATCTAAAGCTCAATGTACTGCAGGGTACCATTTCGCATTACTCGATTGTCACCATTGTTTTTTTCGCTTCTTATATCGTCTTCCAGCCTCCGGCCACTGTCATTTGCCGATATCTCGGACCACGAAACTTCCTTTCTGTCATTGTGATATTATGGGGCGGCGTCATGATTGGCATGGGCTTTGCCGACAGTTACGGTACAATGGCCGCGCTACGAGTGGTCCTCGGCGTACTTGAAGCTGGCTTTTTCCCAAGCTGTGTCTACCTGCTGTCGACATGGTGTACGTACTTTGGCGTCAAGAATTGCTGGCACGGTACTAACAACCTGTTCAGACACTCGATTCGACATCGGAAAGCGGTACTCGTGCTTTTATATCCTTGGAAGTCTGGCCTCTGCTTGCGCCGGTATTCTCGCTTACGGATTGATGCAACTCAAGGGACGTCAGGGACTCAATGGATGGCGCTGTAAGCTTCACCAACTTGCACAATGCGCTGAAAACGCTAACACGATTCTGCAGGGATCTTCATCATTGAAGGAGCGCTCACCTGTTTTCTTGGAATAGTTGGCTACTGGGCCCTTGTTGACTTCCCGGACAAGGCTCACAAGAGCTGGAAGTTCTTGACCGAGCGGGAAGCCATGTACATCATTGATCGCGTCAACCGGGACCGTGGAGATGCGAAACCAGAGCCGTGGTCTCTAGCTAAGTTCTTCCACGGTGGAACTGATATCAAGATCTGGGGATTCGCTCTGGTAAGTTTTCGGACTCCCGCATGCAGGATGATTTCTCTTACTAATTCTCGTTCAGATTTTCTTCAACACCACTACAGTGACCTACGCCTTGGCCTACTTCCTTCCCATCATCCTGACAGAAAACATGGGCTTCGACGTCGGCGCGGCCCAGTGTCTCGTTGCACCACCATACGCTCTTGCTGCGATCGTCATGTATGCCACCGGTTGGGCTGGTGACAAGTACCACATTCGTGGACCCATCATCCTCTTCAACATGGTTCTTTGCCTCATCGGACTTCCCATCATGGGTTTCCACAAGGATGCGAGCGTTCGCTACTTCGGTGTCTTCCTTACGACTGCTGGCGCAAACAGCAACATTCCCGCGACTATGTCGTACCAGGCGAACAACATCAGGGGCCAGTGGAAGCGCGCATTCTGCTCGGCTATCTTGGTCGGCATGGGAGGCGTCGGTGGTATCGCCGGAGGACTCGTATTCAGGTATGTTTGTATATCACACAGAACTTTAGCTTTGATACTAATATTCCATAGGACCCAAGATAAGCCCGGATACGAGCCAGGACTATATGCCTGCATCGCCTGCTGCCTTCTCACAATTGTTATCGTCTGTCTCGTCACACTGCGGTCATGGAGCTTGAACAAGCGCGCCGATCGGGGTGAGATTGAGCTGGAATACAACGATGTAAGTCTCTTGAATGCCTAGAATCGATGCAGAATGCTAATGGATATACAGGATGGTGATCAGAAGGGCTTCAGGTATACATACTGAGGGGTAAATAGGCAAACTTATGATATTTATGAGCGATGGATCAAGGCATGTCGTCGGACTAGTGCCATGATATAGCCTTGTGTAACGACTCTTCATAGTGCCTGATATAGCGATGATATGATCCAATCGCTTACCTTTGCAATATGAGAATCCAGTGACCATGCCGTGTGATTGTGATCTTGCTCCAATGAGTAGTATTGCACGACTTAAAACTGTGTACTAAGGCCAGGTGTGATACATGGTGTTGAGGAGAGAACGGTCGACATACGTCATAACAGGTGTCGCGCCTAAACACCTGCTGCGCGCGCCAATCCTGACTCAGATGGCTCAGCGCAAAAACATCATCGTGTGTTCTTTCACAGTCGATTGCTTCAGCCTGGAAAATGGCTTCTTCTCTGCAATCAATCACCCAGGACAGCCCACAGATTTCCAAATCCCACCCTCAAGCTGCACCATACACTGCCCACCCTTGCTCCCACCCAAATCACCACTCACGAAAACTGCAAACCTGATTAATATTTTCCAAACTGACGGGAAGTTGGAAACTCACCAACAAGCACAGCTGCATACGCTGCCGTCGCCGCGAAAACCTCTGCCCGCTTCGAATCCGTACAAGATTTTACACTTGCCGCAAACAGCGCCGTATAGATGGCTATTAGCGCCAGCTTAACCTTTTCATTCCGTACGAAATAGAGACTGACGATTGCACCAACGAGTAGTGTTGCGGCGAGGACCATGCTTAGCACTGCCACAAAGCGGACGATGTTCTTGTCTTCGAACTGAAATGTATCGTCAGGCCTTTCAGCGGATGGCTTCGTTCTGAAGGACCAGTGATTTCGTAAAGTACGCGACAGGAAATCGTAGTCGGGGGGCTTTTGGAGAGCGACGAGGTCGGAGGTATCGGGAGTATCGGAACCAGGTTGGCAGGATAGAAAGTCTTTTGCGCGCCCGGAGAGAAGGTTCATGGGACTGTCGTTCGAGTCTCTAATACCATTCACTTTGAGGAAATATCTGTATGCTTTCACGAGGCGGTCACTTGGTTTGTGGAGTTTGGCTATTTGTGCGCGTAGAACGAGAGTTTTATCTGGCTAGAGGATTAGAAGCAGAGACGTTCGTGGGAAGCAATACTAACAACACTCTTTTAACAGTATCTGAAGTTCAGCAAGCTTAGTCACAAGCTGATTTTCTAGGCTGTCCACCACATCTGCTCTCTCCATCAGGGTTTCCCAGCGCTTTAGCGAGCGCACTGTATGGATGTTTGCCGACCGCTTTATCCGCTCGTCCAGATCATCAACCTCTTTTTCAACATGGATGATCCGACACTGCAAATGCAATATGCTGCGTGCTGACATTCGCCCAAATTTGCGGAACACCAATGCTTCGTCATCAGGGTCCCGAGAGATCCATCTAGAGAGGGCGGGATAGCCGTCTCTCAATATACTGAGCTCAATGTCTGTCTTTGTTGTGTTCGGGCTCATGTTGCGGATGAGAGAGCTACCTAGGTATGTCTGGATACAGGGGACTTGCTTGTTTTCGAAGGCCGAGAAACTGTACGCAGATCGGGATACACCGGTCGGAAATCAGGCTGCGAGATAGTATGACAACAGCACATATTGGACATGGGCACAGCCCAAACGCTAAGGGGGCTAGACTCGGGAGTGGCTGCATATATGCACAGTGGATCCCACTAATACTACTCATCCTTAAAGTACGTACTTTAAATTCGCCCTTCCAGACCGAGAATATGGGACTTGTTGGTGTTATGCTAAAAGCTGGTACGGTATTAATTCTATCGCAATGATGGTCGAAAGAGCTCGTAGCAACGCCGCGTGATCGGCTTTGCAGAAGAGGGAAATGAAAGAAGGAAATCACGGACTCACAGCCCTAACGCCAAGGGGAGGACTAGGCTCAGCAGTGGCCGTGTATATGCAGACTAGGTGCACATGTGTGACCTAAGTCACCCAGGCATACTTGACCTAGGGTATAAATAGATGGTCAGTTAAGTATCCGTATCGAGTACCGTCAAGATTTATATCAAACCCAAATCAGTTCCTTAGACATGCGAATTAATCTTGCCCGGACCTTTGACCACTACTCAATCTTTTCTGCTGTTGTACAACACTTTATACCCTGCCTTGACAGCACAAATACTACTGGTTAGACTTTTAACAAGAAACTTAGCAACCTTGGCGACATGAATCCCAACCCCGAAGCGTCTGTGGCGAGAATACATCTTGACACCATGTCTTCTCAGGCAGAACCAAACGATGATAAAGTCACCTCCGACCCTGCATTCTATACGTCGACAGCAGATTCAGACAGTGAATCTTCCATCCTCCGTCCTGTATATGTTTCTCGACCAAAAAAAAGGGAGCTTGAAAGCGCCAGCAGGAAAGCCTCGTTCGGTCATATTTGATGAAAAGTTCGCCGAAATCACCCGTCGCAACCGCGAAGAAGACAGAATATCAAACCTACCTGAGGAAGAACAGCCCACAGCTAGAGTTATAGAGAGCGAGAGAAGAAGGAAGTGGGAAGCAGAGTACGCTTCTAAGATGGCTGCCATAGAAGATGAAAGTGGAAATACTAGTTCCACAACGACCAACACCATAACTCCGGCCCCTGAAACTACCACCACACCCGACATTGCAACCACCACCGCAAACAACACCATATCTACCACCAGCATAGCTCAAAACACTCCTCCAAAACGGTCCCTAGCTCAAAAATTCAAATACCTCTTCAAGTCTAAGCATGTCCAAGCCGCTCAAACACACTCGCATCCATAGCTAAAATCCTCAAAATCGTGCGTACCTGGACAATTCGACTCGAGAGTGGGTACCACGGGAGGAGAGTAGTAAAGAAACAAGTAATAGAATAAGTAAGGAAAGGAGTGAGGAAAGCGGTAATGGAATGAGTAAGGAAAGGGCTAAGGAAATGAAAGAACAGTCTAAGACAGAGAAGATACAATACTGCGGTGTGAAAATCTGCTGCTAAGCATCGATATCACTTATATACCTATACATACCCATTTTCAGAATATACTCTAGTAGCGGCATCAATAGTAGCAACTACAAGACAGCAAACTAGCAATACCCTGCCCCCTGATAAGTAGAAATCGTAGAAAAAAATACAAGTTAAGCTAGACTAGAGATTCTAGTCGAAAGATACGTGTACATGTGTGATAGATGCGAAGCTAAAGACCGCATTTAATGTCTTATGAAGTCTTCATCACTTGTTGGTAGGCCTTGTACGATCGTACGGGGTGAATAACAACGAGGTTCTTCTGGTGACTGGTATTGGTATTGTCTACGAACATAGGTGCTACGAAGGTATACCTAAGCTCTGCGCAAGGTGGGCCGAAGTTGGGCCGAAGTGTCAAGCAGCCGACGTCTCTACCGATACTCACGATCCGACATCACTTTTACTATTCCTGGTGTTGACATTAGTATAAACCTCCACAAACAGGCACACAAAAGATCACATACAGCCCCTCTCACAAAAACCTCACACACACATCCCCAAATTCAAAAAAAAACAAAGAGATAACCAATATATTCCAACACAAAGTCTAAACTTTACACCACCCCCACCGTACACATCAAATAAACAACACACACGCCTCACAAAAAAGCATTTACTATTCCTCTAAGAACAAAGCCCTTCCCAGAATTCCCCAGTTTTGGAAACGAGAATTTGCAGTAGAAAAAAAAACGCAGCAGCTACAAAGGAAAATAGACACCTTCATCCCATGCCATGGCCGATACGAGGAGAAGGGCAGAAAAAAGGGCTCGAAAATTTACATGACATAACGCCCCCAACACCGAAAACCTTCAACCTAAAAAACTCCATCCGTCGCTATGCAGAGCAATGAAGAAAAAGAGAGGGGAGGGGGGATTGGATGTAATACATCGTCCACAACGAACCAAGGCTATTCATCCCACCAAATCATTCTAGTAAGACTTGTATTTCTGCACTCACATTAGCAAATCACATCACTCAACAAACATTCACAGAACATCTTCCAACTTACATCTTCAATCTTCCGCCTCGACCCTTCATCAAGCGCATTCCCCACACCAAGCAAAGCATTACTAAGCGCCTTCGTAGCCCCAAGCGCCGGCCTTAATATAACAGTCGGAGCATGCCTAGCCAGCGCCCTTGCCACACCAGTGCCACTACCCTCCTCCATGACCTCCGCAGGTATAGCAATGACAGCGTCACGAGCGGTGAGTAAATCGCGTTCGAGGTGGCGGGCAGCACTGCGGAGGCCAGCGCGGACGCCAATGGGTTGGTTAGCGTAGTTTGAGACTGCGCGTGGTTCTTCGTTGTCGGAGCTTGGATCTTCGCCCTCCCAGTCTTGCGAGAGGCGACGATTTGGTGCGGTTTGCGGGTTTAGGAAAACCTCTGCGCCTTCGAGGAGGGTTTGGGTTCCGATTGCTACTTTTGCGCCTAGACGCGCTACTTCGGAGGTTGTGTTCTTGGCGAAGGCGTATACGCCCTTTTGTAGACTGCGGACGATGCGGCCGTCTTTCTTGTACTCGCGCATGGGTACCACGACGAGGTCTTTTATCCCGGAACCGACGTTTACGAGGGGCCGGACGGCTGCTAGGCCAGAGAGTACGCCCGGGAGTTGGTTGCTCCTGACGTCTGGCGTCCAGACATCGTTGAGAGTCTTGTGTAGCGAGTCGAATGAGGTGATGCCGTACACGATTGCATGGCGCAGGACAATGTCGGACCCGTCCAAGATGAGGAAGTTCATGAACTCAGTGGTATGGCCAGAGCGCAGACCGCGGTAGTCCACACGCTTTGGCTTATAATCGAGCTTCATGCTGACTGCCATCACTTCAAGACGTTGGATGAATGGCTGATCGGTAGGTGGCGGACTAGCGGGCACCGAGTCGTCTTTGAACTCGAAAAAGCGCGTGATAAAGTCTAGCGCATCTTGATCGACGTGCAAGCGAAGTGGGAGTACATTGACCTTGATCACCAACTCAGATGCAGCAAGATCGGTGACGGGCTTGACTGTCACAATTTCAAGATTGATCATCGGCCGGATGAGCTCGCGATCAAGTGGGTTGACTGCGCAAGTGACAAATTTCTTCCAGGTTGAAGTTGGAACGTGATCAAAAACTTCCAAATCCTGAACGCGAACGTTGATAGAGTTGATGGTCTCGCCCGAGTCGGGAGGGAAGACGATGAGATCAACCGCAACACCCATCAATGAGAACGCAATCTTCTTGTGCTTGCTGCGTTCCAGCTTCAGACGACGTTTGGATCTGGTCGTGCCACGTGGTCTAGAAGTTGCGCCAGTCGAGCGTGTCGCTGTTGTAGTTGCGTAGCTGCCAGTCTCGCTGGCGAGGTCGTCAATGTCGTGGTTGATGCGCCGAGCCAGGGCACCCTTCTCGTCCTTGATGGGCACGCCGATCCAGACCGAGTTGAACAAGAAGTCCTCTTCGACCCAGTTGTCGTCGTCGTCTTCTTCATCTCTTGCTTTGCGTCGTCGCTCCTCGGCGCGTGCCTCGACGTCGTCGACGGCCTGGCTAATCACGCTTCGCGTTCGTGGCCAGTCGTACCCATCGTAGAGATTCCAAATGACGTTGACGTCGCGAACCCGGACTTTGACTGGAGCATCTGGAGCTTTGAACTCGTTGGGAAGATGATACTGATTCTTAGTAGAGTCCCACTTGCGAGCTTTGCCTTTTGCTTCTTCATCAGAATCTCTGAAATAGTCACCGCCAAAGTCGAATTCTTCTTCGCCTTTAGTAATCTCAAATTTCTCCTGGAAGCTTTCAAGTAGAGCTGGATCGCCACGATGCCGTACAGCTGGGGGTGAAGCCAAAGCGCCGAGATCGTCCTCGCCAAGAAGACTATCGCCCATTTCTTCGTCAGTCGGTAACGACTGCGAGTTGTAGATGCTCCCAACAAACTCCAGATTCGTTGGTAAGTCATCTTCCACGAGATCAGCGTTACTCATAAAATCATCAGCCTCCTCGTAGTCGTCCTGCGCCAGTGCATCGCCTGTAAACGACTCCATCATTTCTTGGAGAGGGACGATGGTTCGGTATTGATCTCCTGTGGCTGGCGGCGAAGGTGGCTGAAGACCATTCAAGATGGCAATGAGAGTCTGTGTCGAATCTGCGCACGACTCAATGACGAAGAGTTCGTTCTTGAATTCCACATCGACCAACTGAGGCCGGTCCTTTCCATCGCCTGAGATATTCACAAACACCTTGGCTGCCGAAATCGTACTGAGTGATACGTAACCCGACTTGCTGAGTTCATGAAGATGGCGATTCGTGGTGATCGACGGTGGCACCGGCTCGTGTTCGTCGTCTAGGCGAGCTGTATCATCAATGGCATGCATCGAGGCTTTCCGCAGCTCCACGGTAATGGTATAGTCGCTCTTGGTCTGCTTGCACGCAACATGCGCTTCCGTGAGTACAAAGAGACCCTTCGATACCGACTTCCGGGGGTTGAGACCAATCGCGCATTTCCTGAGCAAAAGGTCGATCTGTAGCGGCTTGATAGGAGGACCGGGTGATGGCGAACTGACTTCGGAAGACTGTTGGCTGAGTGTTTGGGGCGATGAGGCACCTGTAATGGTCGCGACGCTCGATGCAAGACCTGAAGCGATCTCCTCGCCCATCGCATATTCAGATATACCAAGCGCTGCCATGATGGTCGTGACCCGGTATTCGACACAGACGTTGAAGAACTTCGCCTTCGCAACCGGTTCCATCTCGTCTCCCACCATTCGCAACATGATGGCAGGCAACTGCTCCGACGGTCGCAGCCTGACAACTTCATGGACGAGCACCTCGTCATCACGGCAAACAACCACCTTTCCAATTTCAGTAGCCAATAAAGCAGGAACACCGACATGGGCCACTGCCGCATCTTGTAGTACAACTGAGACGTCTCCAAGCTTCTCATTAACAGCCACCCTGATATCCAGTTTCTTCACTGACGCGAGACTGAGTAGGCCTGGGCGATCGTCATCTGGGAGATACTTTGCAACCTTCGACAAGCGCGCCAGTTCGGCACCGAGAGCCTCAAACGTCTTCATCTGTTGCAAATCAAGAATATGAATGCCAACTTCGCTCACCTCGACGCGGAGGACGGAGCCCTTTCGTCGTTGACGCAATAACGTGTCGATCAGAATGTCATCGTCGTTCTCGTACGGATCCTTTGATGGCGTGATCATGGAGATAAGCCTGGCCAAATCGGTCTCCTCGGGCGCAAAGAGGAAGTTGAGAGTAGTTCCCCTCAACTCCACAATTAAAGGTACACCCTTTTGGCTCATGCTCGTATATGGTCCCATGAGTTGTATTTCCGAGATCTTTAGACGTACATTGCTTTGTCGCACAGCAATGCGGACTGTTGTCGTCTGTAGTTGCACAGAGCATGTCTTGCCTTTCAGGGTGAAAGAAACTTCGCCAAATTGTACCTGGATCTTGGGAGCCGGCGCGGATGGCACAGGGGCTTTTACAGGAGGTGGAAGACCATCGCCGAAGTGGACACCTCGAGGCTTCGACTGCGCTGGGGCTATCACGGCGCTTTGCACCGTGCTAGCAGAGCTCATCGAGTTGCTCAGTTCGAGCATCCCACTGAAGCCTCCAAACGAGCCTAGCGCATCGTCCAGCTTTTGAATATCAATCATGATCTTGACTGGACGTGTGACAACTGTAATACGGTCGTCTGTTCCTTGATCATAGTCTATCTCGATATCGTGCTTGAGATGATCCCGTAAATCGTTGACAGATCGTCTTGATTTCGGTCGTAAGCTCTGGAAAGAGATGAGGTCTTGGTCCAACGACGCAAGCACAAATTTACCGATGTGAATCTGTGATCTCGATGCTTGTATGCGACTCTGTCGGTTGACGTGCACTCTTGAGAGACTGACTCTCAATATAGCTCCCGATGGGTTGAGTTCGAGGAGCCAGTTCGAGAGCTCTCCTTCCCGGATGGATTCTGTCGAAACATTCTCCAGCCATGACAGCGAGACGTTCTTGATAGAAAGTTCGATATCCATACCAACAGCTTTGGAGACATCGCCCTCGTTCTCGTTTTTAGCCTTCGTCATGTCTTCCGGTGAGGACGGCTCGCCAGCCAGAGCTTGCATTGCTCGACCAAACATCCCGAACATGATGCGGCCAGTTGAGATGTCCATATGCCCTGAGACTTCGCCTACATCGAGTGAGATGGATGGCGTTTGCGTCCTCTTGGACTGTTCCTGGGGATTAGGCGATTGCTGGGGCTTCGGCACTGACCGTCCTCGCGTGGATGCTTCTAGCGATGGCTTGTGTCTGGGCGAAGACGCGTACGCGTAGTTGGAAAACGACCCAGGCATCTCGGCGAATATGGAGTCTTCTCCAAGGTTTGAAGGCTTGAAATCCATGCCTGGCGTGTCATTGGTATCTCCGATTCCAGCCTCGCCACCCTGCCCGTCGCCTAAGCCCATGGGAAACCACACGGTAATCTCGTCGATTGTAAGAAATCGCTTCGCTTGTCTCTGAATTGCGACTGTGGTAGGTACAGGAGTTTGTGTACGTTCAGGAAGTGATGGCGATGCGGTACTTTGTCGGCTCCTTGGACGTGGAGTCTCGCAGCCCTCATCGACTTCTGGCACTTCAGCTAGGATCATACAAGAAACCGTCTCCTTGGGTGTCGGTTCAGGCATCTCTGAGACGGAGTCTTTGCTTGATGCCGAAGAAGAATCCCAGCCTCCAGGAACGTGCTGTCCGGAACCGGCTTGCCTCGCACTTACCGCGCTCATGTACATGCTCTCCGCCTCGTCATGGGTAAAGAACCGTGACTCCGCCAAATCTTCTCCTGGAGACGGTGTCGAGTCGGAAAGCTCGTGCGTACTGTGTGCGGGGCTTTGGATCTCTAGATTCGTATGTTCATGTGCCGCCGCTAAGTTATCAGTAGAGGACTGGGCCTCTTCGGAATGCCTCGATTCGGCAGGCGAGCTATAGGAATCTGGAGGATTGAAAGATCGCCCGAGGGCGGATACAGTCGGTAAGTTGGACATGGATGTATCGCTGGCAGGTTCAGAACGACGAGTGTGTTGGCTTGAGCTGACGCCATCTAAATCCCAGTGGTTTGCGGCTTCTGCAGACCCCTCCATTGCCGGCGCATCATCGAAGCGTGAGTTGAGCATACCATTTTGCATTGCATAATCAAGCAAGCCCTCGTCATCGTACAGTATACTGCTCACACTTAAATCACGCACAGGCAGAGGTTGATGAGATTGCGTGTAGGAGTCATCCATAGGCCGGTCATCCAGTCCATCGTCAGAGTTAGCATCTGCAAAACGATCATCGTCTACAGTGTGCACAGAAGAGTCCATTTGCAGGCGCTCTGGGGACGCAGGCCGCGGTGGCGAAGGAATTTCTTCGCGCCGACTGGCGATGTGAGATGGTTGCCTGGATGAAGCAATCGATGTGGATAGTTCCTCGTCATCCGCCGGTTGCTCCTCAGGGCCTACCTCTTCTTCAGACACTGACTGACTAGAGCGCATAGACTGGCTCGAGTGTATGGACTGACTAGATGGCATGGATTGGTTAAATATTTGGCTCCTCGCCGGTTCGCTTGGGGCTTTCTGGCTAATCGACGCTTCGGACCGAGTTGTAGCTGGAGAAGGCGGCTGTGAATGTCTTGACGAAGACACCAAGTTTTCGACATCCGAAACTAGGCGCGCGCATATATTCTCTACGCGCATGCGCCGCTTACCTAGCTTTGTGGTGTCAGGCGAGGACGTTGAGCCAACCTCGACGCGCACATCTTTGGAGGTTATTGAATCGATGGTTATGCGCTCGACGTGGAAGTTGAGAGACACGGGTAAGCTCTGGGCGGACCTTGATGAATCTATATCCTTCGGGGCTTGGTCCTCCACTTCGATATCGATGTCATTGACCGTGATACTCAGACGATCAAGCGCGGTGTTGAGGATATTGCGAAAGTAAGCTGGGAGCGCTAGTGGAGCGCCAGTGCCCGCAACACTTTCATCTTCGTCATCACTGGATGCGACTGAATCTTGCATGTACGCCGACTGAGACGCCAGCTCTTGCTGTAGCTCTTGGATTTCCTCGAGAGGCTCCGCCCGTATGAACGACTTGGCTAGCTCATCCACAGTAGGTACGTGCTTGTTATCATCGTAATCGCTGTCGCCGTAATCGTCTTGAGCACGAAGGGTCGATGTCGGTCGTGAAGATGGCGGTGAGTGTAGCGAAGTCCCATGGTGATCCTCTTGTACATCCTCCACCAGCCTTGCCTGAACTTGTATGCCATGCACTTCTATCGATATCTGGGGTACGCCGAAATCGAGGACAAACGTAACTCGGAGTAACGAGGCTCGCGCTTTGGATAGATGGATCTCGGGGGGCACGCTGATATTCAACAACGACACAAGTTTCTGAGTGTGTCAGCATAACAGGCAAAAGGTATACCTCCATTTATACATACCTTGATATGCAGCCCGACATCGCGAACCTCGAGCGTGGTGCGCTTTCCAACATCGACGCTCACAAAGTCGGCCGGGTCCTTGTCAAGTATGTCGATATGGCGCAAGCCATAGAGCAGCAACCGTCTGCCGATAGAACTCGAGAGTCCCGAGAAAAAGGCCATGGCAGTTTCGCGGCGCCAGTGGCGGTTGAGGTGCGGGAGCGTTGACTATAGGCAAGTCGAGCGCCTATCGCCGGGAGAGGAAGGGCTCCATAAGTAGTAAGCTGTGTAGTTTGGTAGGCCTAGTGTGGGTGGCGGACCGCCGCTTGGAGGCGCTTTTACTCTGTCTACACGAATATGCACAGTCGTGCCTGCCAAGTCTTGCTTGACCGCAGTTGTGCGAGTATCGGTACTTGGGTTAGACTTTGGAGAAGCAGTATGAGCGATGAGCTTGCATAAGAGGGTTAGTGAGTATGCAGCATGCAGAAAGTGAGACGAGGTAGTCAACGGCTGTCGGAAGGTCACAGGACGAGGTTACGACCTCTAGCGCGTAGCTTCAGGTGCGTATGAATGCAGGTGATGGGTTATGCGATCGTAGGCGGCCGTGCAATGTGCTCCCATCATCCGCTGCGGCCCCGCGCACGCCTCAGGGACGCACTAGTAATCGATAAGCAACTAACGCGTGATAACGCGTTTGAGGCAACAATGACGATGGTGACGATTTGAGTGAAGAATGACCCGTGTCTAGGTGTTGAGGTGACACCTTGGAGACTGATGGCATCACTACTGTCGTCTTACTTTGAGTCCTGGTACTTGTGCTGCAGCCCTGCAGTGCTGGTCCTCGGCATTACGCCACTTTAGGCAACGACTGGAAGCCGCCTTACGTCAGCATCCACTAGCGCTCTTCAGGAAGGAAGTCGGAAGGCACCGATGCAAAATGACTTGACATTTCTGGTCGAAATCTCTGCAAACTCAACCCCATCTCTTTGTTTTGTTAAACGGTTATCATGACTTCCAGCGGCACCGTAAACGACGAGGAGTGGGCGCAGGCCGAAGGGGTACCGAATCTAAGCGACCCGTTCATCCAAAAGTACCTCCAAGGCAGGGATGCACTGGTACAGCAAGAGAAGCGGCAGCGAAGTGGTTGGTCAACACTCATGGTACGAAACACGCACGAACACGTGTCTGACAGTCATCAGACTATCTATTCCGCCAAAACCTCTCGCCCATGGCACAGGAGGCATGTGCGATAGTCTCCCAAATTAGGTTTGAGGAACAGCAAACACTGTGGACCAAGGAGTACGAGGACAGCCTGTTGACTGACCATGTCGATGTGTTTCCTGGAATGATGTTCTCGCTTGCAAAAGACCGCATGGAGAAGAGCAAATTATGGCAGATTGTGAAGAAGATGCCCAAGGGCACACTGCTACATTGTCATCTAGAAGCAATGGTAGACCTTGACTGGGTACTCCAGGAAGCCTTCGATACTGCAGGCGTCTGTGTAATCGCCGACGGTCCGATTACAGATGACAAGACGAGGCGGAAGACTGGGTTCTCCTTTACATACTCCAAGGATGCGAAATCTGACACCTCGATTTGGAATGAAACTTATGCTGCAAACACGCCTATACCTGTCAACCAGGCGGCTGATAGCTTCCCAGACGGTGGGAAGAAGGCTTTCATTGAGTGGGTTCGCTCGCGCGTTACCATAACGGCCTCTGAACATCTCTCCCACCACGAGGGGCCCAACGAAGTATGGCGCAAATTCATGTCATGCTTCCCCATCCTTGGCTCGCTCATCTACTATGAACCAATTTTCAGAAAGTTCATCCGGAATATGTGCAAGCAGCTACTCGATGATGGCGTGTACTATGTAGATATGCGTTCAGCCTTTTACACGCCGTATCGTAGCGCAGGCAAAGAAAAGTGGGACGACGACTGGTTCCACATGCTCGAACATACGGCGGATGAGATTGAAAAGTTCAAGGCAAGTGAAGAGGGCAAAGAGTTCTGGGGCGCGAGAATAATCTGGACAACCATCAGGCAGTTCGGCAAGAAGGAGGTAATTGAAAGTGAGTTGTTTGCTATTTATGTGTTCTCGTTATCTATGGTGTCATACCTCCACACACACACTGTAAATCTACTAACCCGTCCAGGCATGAAGCAGTGCATAGAAATGAAGCTCGAATTCCCCGAAATCATCGCTGGCTACGACTTGGTAGGCCAAGAGGACCTCGGCCGACCACTCTCCGACCTTGCGCCTGAGTTGTTCTGGTTCCGTAAAGCTTGCGCGCAAGAAGGTGTCGACATACCCTTCTTCTTCCATGCAGGCGAGACGCTTGGTGACGGTGATTCTGTAGACGAGAACCTCTTCGACGCCATCATCCTCGGAACGCGGAGGATCGGACACGGATTCAGCTTATACAAGCATCCGCTACTGATCGACATGGTCAAAGAGAAGAGGATTCTAGTCGAGAGCTGTCCAGTGTCCAACGAAGTGCTGCGCCTATGTGGCAGTATCATGTCTCATCCCTTGCCAGCACTACTAGCTCGCGGCGTACCCTGCTCACTCTGCAATGATGACCCCACCATTCTCGGTCAAGGCAAGTCTGGCATGTCGCATGACTTTTGGCAGGCGCTGCAAGGTTGGGAGAATCTGGGTCTGGAGGGCTTGGGTTCGCTGGCAGAGAACAGTGTCCGGTGGGCTAGTTTAGACGACTACAGTGCAAAAGACTGGACGCAGGACATCAAAGACGGTATGTTCGGCAAGGGCATACGAGCACAGAGGCTTAAGGAATGGGTCAGTAAATGGGAGAAGTTCTGTGCATGGATCGTGGAAGAGTATGGTGTTGATGAGAACCTCGAGCCTGAAGAGTAGGCAGTCACGTGCAAACACAAAAGCGGAAATTGTATAGTCTAGATTTAGATACCACACAAAGATTCAACATCAAAATCCGGTCAGTCATACTCAGGGGTCCCAAAAGAGATGGTGCTGAGCTGGTCGTTATCTCACGCAACAAGTGGCTGCGGGGCAACGTCACCCTATCGTGCTCTGCCACGTCCTCGCTAGGTCCATCGAAACAATGTGGACTGATCTCAGTCTGAAACGCTGCCTACAGCGTGTTCTGACCATAGGTGCCTGCCACGCGTTATGGCTCCTCGTCGACGCCATCTAGTCCCCCATACCCGACTCCCCACACATAGGCGCTGTAGTATCTTTTGTAGTTTACCGTCCACATACGTCTGAAGTCATCAACAGCCTCACTCATGCGCCTCGACAGCTCATCAGCCCCGTGCTGCGCCTCTTCTCCTGTACGTGGGAACAACTTGGCTCTTAGCACGTGAAACCAAAACGTACTCTCCACCGTCACCATTAGTCCAAGACCACCATATACGGTATACCTCGTCGCAGCTCTCATTTCGCCAAGTTGTCAAAAAACACTAAAAGCCGCCGGAGAAGCAACGCCCGTTTCAGCGTGGTGTTCATGTGAGTGTGCATGTGAGTTCGGGGCTGGGGGTCCGAGCGCCGTGGCGGATGTGTATGAGTCTTTGGTCGATATTGCCGAGGAATGAAGACATCGGGCCTTCACGATCTGCACCTTGGGCGCAATCCCCTGTAGATATGGGTGTGCACGCAATAGGGAGGGGTTCTGTATGGACAGTGATGCGGCGTTTGACAAGATGCACGGTGCCATGACTGCGCAGAGGTTCTTGCGTCACGAAAATAGAATGGCGGGAGATCTGGTTGAGAGTGGGGTGGTGTCAATTGCGTTGAGGAGAGGTTGGTATCTACAAGCAAGATGCTGTATATATCTACATCTACTCGCACTCTGTCGACGCTTCTCCTCGATGATCCCCCCATCCTCTTGTTATTGTTTTGATGGAGGGGCCGCCAAGACTTCCATTGTTTGTTTTGGGGGTAAAATTGCGAGAAATGATAGCGTTCGCATCATCTGTAATCTTAAGTTTGACGCAGGGATGTGGGAAAACGATGCGCCCAAGCGCCGTTGACGTCGTCCCTGCTGCCCAAGCTCGTAATCTGTAGTGAAAGTGAGAGTTGCGCAAACATGTGCTCGCGCATAAAACCGTCTTCGCGACGATAGCAGCCGTCCTGTTGCAGTGAAAGCGCCGACGGAAAAGCCGGCAGGTTTGTGCAAAAGGCGGTGGCTGGCCACTTGGCGGGGATGCTGTGCTGGCAGGGACGGCTGGCTTGACTAGTGGAGAGTGGAGACGAGCGGTCGGCATAGTTCAGGAACAATAAGTCGACGCGCCGCACGCACACGACAAAGTCAGTCCCTATGCCTACAAGTTTCTTTTCCCCGTCGTCACCGCCCTCCTATGTAGCTCCTACACGCCCTATTTGATTCCCCCTCACCCCGAGCATGACCGCCGTTAGCGACGACCTCGCACCGCTTTTTTCGCCATTCACACAACCCGCCGGTCCGGTCCAGCCCTTGTTTACGTGAAGGAGGGGTCGTACACATGGAGACGGCCAGGATGGGTGGTGGCATTCCGAGGCCACGCTGTTGCTGTGGGAGCCGTGACTGTGTCTTTTTGGCTCACAATGGAAGACTGCTCGAGGGCCTTGAAAGAGACGTGTCAAAGGCGGCACAACTGGGTCAAGTATGTCGCTGAGCAACCTCGCGTTTTATTCGTTATTGTGGCATCTACGGAAAGCATGATGCCTACCATGATTCTCGAGTCTACGCAACCGTCACTAACTACTGCTCTCAAGGCCCTGCTCGAACGCCATGAAGCCTATGTCGCCGACTCCGAACGCGAACGGAAGCACATGCTTTCCACCATAGAGGTACTGGAAAACGACAAAATAGCCCTAGAGGCCAAGAATGCGCAGACTATCAAGGAGAATCGTGATTTGCTGGACCAGCTAGAGCAGCTGAACGACACTGTCGCCCACTCCGATGCACACATCCGAGCCCTCGAAGACACACTTCGCTCGACTGAAGAGGAGCTCGAGCGCCTCAGTACCCTGGCCGCCCGCACACAACTACTGGAAAAGCAGCTCATCGACCTGGAAAGAGAACAATCGCAACTTCAACGCAACCTGGATGCAAAGCTCGTCGACGAGCGAACCGCTATCCAGCGATGGAAGATGGCAGAGAGAACGATAGGAGATCTTCAAGATCAAATCGACCGCATCGAAAAGGAATCCCGCGCCGAACGTCAACGACACTTTGAGGTTGTAGCCCGCATGGAGCGTAGAATGGTCGTCGAGAGCGAACTCAACACTGCAGCAAACCGACTCAAGGCAAAGGCGGGGCAAGACAAGGGCAGCCCCAATGTCGTATCTCACTTCGTCAAGGACATTCTACTCGACAACGCAAATCTACAGCACGGAATCATGGAACTACGGGAAATGCTAGGCAACTCCAATGAAGAAGTGGAGCGGCTGCGCGAAAAACTCAAAGACCATCAACCTGTACCTGAAAACCCCGAAGACACCACTAGTCCAACGCTGCAGAAAGAGCTGGAAATGGAACAAGAATCTCTGCTGAATCAAGAAGTGCACATTCACCACCACTATCACGGCCCAAAGACATCCAGAAACGCACAAAAGGCACCGGCACAGCGACGACCAAAGAAGAAGCGCTTTACTCTGACTCCAACTCACTTCGACCCGCCTCCAACGTTGGACCGCTCGTCTACAGCTACTATCCTGAACCAAACCAATGTCTCTGTACCCAACTCGCACAGGTGGTCTCAGGCGTCCACGCTTGGCCCAGGTTCGTTTTCAAGCTCGCCCGTGTCCGACTCTCATCGCGGGTCCATGTACGATCGCGTTTTTAGCGAAGCCTACGACTCCTCGCGCCCTACGAGCCCTCCAGACTCCATCGACCTTCAATCTCCCATGTTCGGCCCTGTCAAGTCGCATGAATACTACAGCTCCGATGCAGACCCCCTTCCGATGCTACGAAGGGGGTCAGGTACCCTTGAAGCAGCAAAGCACAGCTCAAGGCATCTTCGCCGCAAGTCGCGTGGTTTGATGCCACCGAGTCTCTCAGCCATGCGTAGTTCGAGCACGCCGATTGCCATGAGCACTAAGAGTAGCCCAGCATCCGCCATCGTCTCCGCCGTCAGCCCCGCAAACTCCTTCTCCGACAACAGCTTCTCCCTCTCGCCCGCAATGCAACCAGAACCCCAAGCTGCCATCCCCGAAGAAAGCGAAGACTCCTCTCTCTCCACCGCCGAGCCCTCCCTCATGAGCCCGACCGAAGACTTCGAGCCCGACCAGCTCCTCTCCCCCAAAACAGCAATGCGCCGCGGTTTCCGCCGCCAAGCATCCCACGAATCCCTCATCTCAGTCTCGGGCATGGACATTCACACACTTCAATCCCGCCCCTCGCAACTCCTCTACCACAACGCCGCTCGCTACGCCACACCCGGCAACGCAGGCTCCGTCGGCCCTGAACTCACCCCCTGGACCGCAACCGCCCACGGCACACTCTCAAACAAGACTTCCGAGAGTAGTATCCAAAGTCGCACCCTCCTCTACTCCAGCATCGCAAACCAAAAGCGCGGGCCCCGCAAGAGCGATGGCCCACAACAACCTTCTACCGGTAGTCTAACCAAGAAAGTCGGAGGCTGGGTCTTTGGTAAATGGGGCGCTACTCCTACTCCCAGCACACAACCTCCCGTCACGTCGCCGTCGTCTACTCGGCCCCCGTCCGTGCTTAGCCAGCAGACGCAGTCGAGCGTTGGTACGACCACGGCCAAGGAGGGTGGAGACGATAAAGCGAAGAAGAATAAAGACAAGGCCAAGGTCAGACCCAGTGGGGTTAATCAGAATGGTCCTATTTGGGGCTTCTTCGATGATGTGCCTGATGCCCCGGCTAAGGTCGTCGTCCAGGATTACGATGCTGATGCGCTTGGGGAGGCGCTAGCGGAGGGCGAGGTGGGCGCTGGGGAGGTTAAGGCGTGAGGGATGAGGGTGTGATACATCTCATCTCCTCCATTTTGATCTAGATCTCGGCTTCGGCCACATTTGTTTTTTCCCCTCACTATCGCTGTCGCTGTTCGCTGTCGCTGTTCGCTGTCGTTTTTTGATTTTGTTTTCCTCACCCCATCAACACAAAACGATGCAAGATTGCAGTAACAAGCATCGTATAGCGTTCCCTATCCTGGTTTCTGTTTTTTTATCTCACTCATGACGCGATAACGATTACGGTTATGATCAAGAAAGATACGCTCGTTTGTGTGTTTTCGTTTTTCTCCTGTCGCTTCGGTTTTTCTGTTGTCTGGGGTTGGGTTTTCTACTACACATATAGACTGGACTACACTACTGCGTATGAGCGAGCGAGCGAAATTGAATTAGGTTGGATTGGATTAGGTTGGAAGCGTTGGAAGCGATGGATGGTTGATGATGTTTGATTTGGTATGAGATTGATACCCCACACTTATACATACATACAGATATACATATATAGCATGCATGCAAATGGTAGATAGATAGATAGATGGAGAGAGAGTTGGATGAAGGAATGAATGGAAATGCCATGGCGACATGGTTTGCTCGCTATGTCTTTGCTTTGAAGGGTTGTGTGAGCTTGAGTGATTGTGAAGATGTGAGTTGGTGAATAAGAGCATGTTACAGCATGGTAAAACAAGTGGTCATGTTCGTGGCTTTCATTTCTTCGTGTGTTGAAAAGAAGGCATCTGCCATAACCCATTTGGGCGTGAAAACAAGGCATCTGCCATAACCCATCTGGGTGTGAAAGAAAGGAAAGTGTCTAACTAAAGTACAAAAAACCTCCGTCCTAATGTCTTGTGACATGTTGCTGAGGAGGGGGCAGGGGTATACTCCTCAGCATGGAACCTGACTCTTCCCATAATATATACAAGTATTCTTGATGCCATGACATTTGTTATGGATCATCTTTTCCTCGCTCCTGTACTGCTCGTCATGCCACCCTTGAGCATGCGCGTCTAGTCGATGACGACCATGACTTTAGCCTTCTTGCTAGATGTAGCGCGATGGTCTTCGATGACCTTGGTGTGTTGCCGAATTTCTTCCTCCAAGTCATCGTCATCGTCTAGGTCAACAACATGTGTGCGCTTCTTAGAAACCGACATGTTACTGTCGTTACCACTCGAGGCGTCAGTCGAGTCTCCGCTGATGCTAGCTGCCCTAGAGTCGACTGGTCGGAGGGGCAATGCTGGTGCCATGAAGCCGCGGACGTTTTTGATATGGGGCACAACCTCACGATCGGGCTTCAAATCTGCCAGGTTCTGGCCACTGTCAACGGCATCCAACAGTCGATACTTCTTGCGCATATCCTTGACATCGCGCTCCAGGTCGAACTTTGAAACGTCGAGACCATTGATAGTGCGAAGATTGAGAGCGTCAGCGCGGTTGTCTCCCCAGTACCATGTAGCGATGTGTGCTTTTGCTATGCGGTTGTCGTGCTTTCGAGCATACGCACGCGCGTCGATCACGGCTTCCCGGCCAATGTCAAGGCTTGGGTCGCCTGGGTCTAGCTGGTAATGTTGCGACATAACCGCATGGCGCTCATGCAAGCGACCCAGTACACGAGCGTATGGGATGGCCATCTCCTTGTGAGCTGAATGGAGCGGATACCATTGTGAATACTCTCCTGCCGCTCGCGGTACGTTGAATTGATCAGAGAGCCATGCCTTGTTCAATCTAGATGCATCACTCGTGTATGCAGAGCCGTAAATCCAGATCTCAGAGTTATACGGACGGCCTTCGTCGTAGTCGTTGTCGGAGGCTTGATCGAGGTTCGTCAACTGGAGGCGGATTGATTTGATCACCATAATATCCGTACACTCATCCTGGCCACATTCTTTCTTTGGTAGAAGACGAATTGTATCCCCGACGGCCACCATCTCGAAGCCCACATACATGCCACGACAGTAAATGCTTGCGTTTGGCCATGTACCCCGAAAGCGATACTTGTCTATCAACGAGACGGTAGAGGCCAACGCCAAGGCATTTTCGATGGTAGTATGCCATTTATCTCGGCGGATGTTGTTCAAGTAGTCTTTCCAGAGTACGAACGGACGGGTTTGTCGCAAGTCAACGTACTTGTATCGCTTTGAAATTGATTTGTCGGGGTCGTTTGGGTGTGGGACGGGTTCTACTCTTATACCTGACCAAGACACGTTCGTCTTCTGGTCAGTGGCATTACCGTCAGGTCCCTCTGTGACAAGACCAGCCTTCCACTGTAGGTCCATGTTTTTGTCCTTTTGCTCGTCACGACCGACGTGAACATCATCCCGTAAGTCGCGGATATACAAGACAATATCGCCGTTCCTTGGGATCCACTGCTCTAGTGTCTTGAGGTCGTATAGCAACTTTGGCATGCGTTCTTGTTCTGCACGCCAATCTGGACTCATTGGTTCTTGTATTACATCATCGATATGTTGATGCCGCCTAAGCTTGTTGATGTAGTTTCGGTAAACATCTGGCGATCCTTCTTGGTCCTCGTTGGACTTGTCCATACCCACGGCGACCTTCTTTGGACGTCCTTTGTGCTGTTGCTGTACCACAGGCCTCGGGATTGGCACGATTGGGTGGGCACTGCTAGGACGGCTCTGTATGGCGACAGAGATGTTCGACGAACGCTGCGAAGATGTACTTGAACTTCGCGCTCTAGAGGTGTTTGGTGAAGCCCTCGGAAGAACACCAGCACTCCCAAAGCAGACGGTGCAAGGACAGCCAATGTTGCTGCCACCGTTGTTCATGAGGTACTCGAAATGAGGATAGAAACGGTTCGGTGAATCGAATTTCTTTTGTGAGGGGTGGCCCCAAAGATATTTGTCTAACATCTTTGGGTCTGAAGGTCTTGGGCGCTGCCACATGGTGTAACCGGCGGGCAAGGCGGCAAGAGTATACTGAACCCCAGGAAGTGCGTCACCCTGATTTTGCATCCATTGCTGTCCAATCTTCTCAAGATAGAGTGTTGGAGGATTGACCTGCGTGTGGGAACCAGAAGAGGGAACGTGTAGGGGATCGCCGTCCGAGCAACCCGGGTTTAGCTGTACGACAACACGGTTGTTCGACATACTGGCGGCGGAGAGATGGGTGCTCTGGGCTTGCCGATGACCGAGACAATATGGACGAGACGTGAAGCAAAGACAATGATGTTGATGTGGTTGAAGTTTATATGGCGTTTACGCGGCAGTGGACGCCGCGAGCCACCGCTTTTGCGGGCTGAGGTCAGTGACTGCAATGTGAAGTGAGGGTGTGTTGGCAAACGTCATGAAATTTCTGCAGGTGAGGCTGACTACAATCGAAGGCAGGCGCGTTTGTAGCAAGACGCGTGAACAAGGCACGTTTGGCAGCTAGCGTAGTCTTGTATCGATTGGGGATCATGGATCAGTCTAGCAACAGCGGTAGCAGCAGTAACACCATCAGCATGAAATTTGCGTGTGGCATGCCTCACTGGGTGTCTTCCATAACCCTATCGGGCGCCGTTCCGACGTTGAGATGAAGATGAAGTTACGGCTTGGCAAGATGGCGGCATGGGACCGAATGCAGGAACGCGGGATGACTCAGCGACTGGCCCCTAATTGCAGGTGCCGAAACGCCGAACGCCAAAAGCAAACAGAAGGGGATAAACAACCAATACTACGGACAATTATTGCGCGGCATGCTTGGACGATCTTGGACCTCATCTTTCAGGTAATGGCGAATTACAGACGTCGGGCCTACCGGTACTGCTATTCTACGCGCTCTTGAAGCTACCTATCAGACTCGTCTATATTCGCGCCCTCCCAGCACAAAGCCATCGCCTTTGATCAACAAACCAGCTATGCATACCCGCTCCCGACGCAGCGCTGTGCAGGTCCACTAAGCCTCATTGCTCAAAATGGCGAGAGATGGACAGGGGATAGTCAGATTGTCTAACGCCACGAGGCTTACTTCAGTCTATAACCGTCATTAGCGCTGAATTAGAGGGCGTGCGCATTGTGCCTGGATCCTCTTGGGGTAAGACGTCAACTATAATCTTCCTCGACAAACTCTCGCTTGCGGGCCCATGGTTCAAGGCGGTGCAGGGTCCTTCTGGGCCGGGTAATAACTCCCTGGCACCATCCACTCACCTCCCGACTGTCCTGTTCGTCATCTCTACCCCTACGCTCCCAGCCTATATCACGAGATATAGCGGCAAGCCAATCTAAAGAGCAACACCAAAAACACGGGAGGCAGCTTCGATCACTACTTATTCCGGACGTGTACGGATCGACAACCTGGCTTTCGATACACAGCCGACCTAGGCCATAGGCATATCCAGTGCCACCAATGCGATGAATTCCATTCTCCCGAAACGCGCGAGCTCACAGCATTACCCTATCGAAGACGAGCGGCCCGCAAAGCGCATCTCGACACCTGCCGGTCAGCGTCTCTCCGTCATTTTGGATGCCAAACGTTCCAAATCTCCCGCGTCGGCGGCCAAAATCAGCGTGACCACTGAGAGCACATTCTGCAACGACCCTTCGCATCAGCACGTAGAACCAGTTCAGCATGGCCACAGGGCTGAGAGGAGGTCGGGCTTCATTTCAGTCTTGACTGGCAGCAGATTGGCTACGCCAAGAGAAAGCGGCGAGGAGGCGCGCAATGGGAGCAATCTCAGTGTCAGTGTCTGGAGCGATAGGGACAGAGACGAGGAGAAGTTTGGCCATGTAAGAAATAGAAGACGAGGGGCCTGTGGTTGGGGTTGGAAGAAACTGCTTCTAGTCGCCATCGTTATTCTTGCGCTGATAGTAGCACTGGGTGTGGGTTTAGCATTGGGACTCAAGAAAGGTGGGAACAAAGATGAAGCTTCAAGGTACGCGAGCCCTGCTATGCTATGCGAAACCACGTCACTAATTTTGTGTAGCAACAAAAGCAGCACCAGCAACTCACCTGCGAATACGACAGGCGGCCCAATACCAGCAGGCGGCGGTGCTCACCCTAGCCCGACCACAGACTCCCCTCCTCCGCCAGCATCCAAACATACTCCTTCTGCTCTACCTTCCAACTTTCCCGTCGGCTCATACTCTTTCGTCGTTTTCCTCGATACAGTCAACACCGGATGTACTGGAAACGCAAACACCTGGACATGCGCGCCCAAGACCGACTACTACGACGACCCACAGAAGGCGCTGACAGTGTTGAACTGGAAAATCAGCGGTTCTTCGGGCGCGTACAAGATATCTTCAGGCGGGCACGACGCAACCTTCGATACAATGTTCCAGAACGAAAACCTCGACTTGTTAGATCGGGGCCTGGATACGGAGCGATATAGATTCCAGATCTCTCGGTCGAAGACGGTCAACATGACTGGAACCATTGGGAACAAAAAGGGCGACTTTGAGTGCGATTACGGTGCGACGAACATGCAGGGATTCTTGTACACCAAGATGCAGCAAACATACCCCGACGAGACCATTGCATTCAAAGGCACCAGCAGCCCTAACTGGCCATTCGGTAAGTACGGTCTATACTTGGATAAATGAGTTGCTAATATAACTATCAGCGGTGCGTGTGGAACAAGCGGTAGCTGGAGGTGCGGGCATTCCCTCATGCAAAAGTTCGTCAGGCGACGACGTGAGCCCCAAAGCTCAGGATGCAGGCACCTTGTGTTCTTGTCTCTACAAGAACTGGACACCCCAGCCCAAATAGAGCAAAATTCAACATTTCTTGTACATATTATCAGTCATTTCCTTGTGTCACATCATCATCAAACCATCTACTCATTAGCAAGCGTAGCATAACATTGGGGTACTTTCTCGGTAGTAAGCTTAATGATAGTCATCATATGGGCGGTTCATTAGACGGTGTTTACACATAGACCAAGCGGCCATACATACTAATGTATCATTAGACGAACGTGCGCAACGTGCGACATTGCAAATTCGCCCGACCTTAACATGCGTTGTTAATCACTGGAGGCGACAGCAGAGCCCTGCAGGTGTCCTTGGGTACAGAGGAATGCAATATCCCTGGTTGCTTGCTTGCCAAGTTTCACCCTGCTTACCTTAATCACGGATCTAACCAACATCACAATCGTTACGTTCCTTGCATAACGATGGAAGCTGTTAGCGTCTTTGTTCGTCTTTGACAGAGGCGCAACCCCAATTCCGGAAGCGCAATCCAAACGCCGGTCGCATGCGGCAATGCGCGAACAAAGACAAAGCCGTCATGGCGAGCATACAAGAGGCACAACAATACAAGACATTGATCTTGACAGTTGATTCTCACATTGAATTGACTGCCAGTCTTTTGTTACTAGTCCATCTCATTTTCAACCTGCCGTTTCATCAATAACATGGGTTTCCTCGACAGGCTCGGATTATCACCGTTGCCAGACAACAAACCATGGTCGTCCAGTCAGAAGCGTAAGCGTGGAAACATGAGCGGTATTCCCGCTCAGACCAAACAGCCCAAATATGCCTACGCACCAGAGGCCTATATGAATTCGGGGTATGGTGGTGCTGGTAGCGTTGTGGTCACGGAAGATGAAGACGATGCCGGTATCGGTGGCAGTGGTTACACGCCAACTGAGATGACCGGGAGGAAGAAGAAGAATGTCAAGAAGCCAGTGGTTGTGCACCCACCAAATCAAGACTTGTTTGTCAAAGCAGTCCAGTCCAATATCTTACTTAAGAAAGCCGAGGAGAAATGGGTAAAAGGTGGTCCTGGCAAGAGATTGGGAACGCTTGAGGATATCAAGAAGCAGAGGATGTTGAATGATAGGATCATCGAAGCGGTTGCGAAGAATGGAATGGTTCCATCCCCCGAAGCACGCGAACCAGCAAAGAAGCCAAAGACTCCAAAGACGGTAGAGACGACAAAGAAACCAAAGACCATGTACGTAGTGGTCCCGTCTGGAAACGATGAAGAATCCCTGTCTTCCAATGAAGAAGAAGAGGTAGAGGTAGAGCCTCAGCCTGTCGGCTTTGAGAAGCTGATAGAGAAGCATAAGCCTTCTCTGGATGCTCTTCAGAACTTTCCGCCCAGTGCTCCCCCACCTGCCGGAGGAAAGACGCAAGCTGTCGGAGGGAAGACGCAACCTCTTAAAATCACACACTGGGGCGGCTTCAAGCCCGCTGTTCTGCCACCTGTTCGGGGTAAGACGCAACCTCCACGCACGAATGTGTGGAACAGACCGGTAAAAACCCATCAGACCACTGCTCTACCACCTGCCGGAGGAAAGACGCAGCCTGCCGTGGGGAAGACTCAACCTGCTGGAGCAAAGACACAACCTGCCGGAGCAAAGACGCATCCTACTGGAGCAAGGACGCACCCTACCGGAGGAAAGACTCAACCTGCCGTAGGGAAGACTCAACCTACCGCGGGAAAGACGCAGCCTGAAACCACAAACCCATCCTGGGACCTCCACCCCAACACGCGTGCCCGCGTCCTCGGAGATAAGAAACTTATCCTCGCCGAAATCGGCGAACCAGAATACGCCTGTCGCGATGTCGAGATCCGCGATGCCATCTGGCAGATCATGGACAGGATGGAACGTTTCGCGAAGCAGCATTTCGATGAAGAAGTGGACAATGCGTGGACAAGGGATGAGCGAGACGGTATAGTCTCTGAATATTGGTACATGCGCATGGGGTTTGATACTGTCAAGTTGATTCACTGTGTTGCCTCTGGCGGCCCATCAGGTGTCTATGGGTGGCACGATATCTTCCTCAACGAGAAGAAGAGACGAGCACTTGTATGTGCTATTATTGGGAAAATCATTACTGAGCAAGTGTTCCAACACCCGTTCTTCGGTGGCAGCAAGGAGAATCTAAAACGCATTGCTGATTCCGAAACGAAACTCCGCGATGACGATGGTAAGCCCCCTTTCCTTCACCAACTCCCCATCTACCTACTAACAACCCACCAGGCTTCGTCCGCCACCGCTTCAACGCCTTATATATCCGCTCCGTCCTCCAGCCCACGCAAAAATCCAAGCTAACCCTCCCCCAAAAATTCACTTCCCACGTCAACGCCGTCCTCTCCGCCCTCTGGGTCCACCTCAGCCACTTATACAGCCTCGTAAACGCCGAACGACTCTCCCCAACCGAAGTCCTAGTACCCCTCCACACCATCATCACCCAAGCCGCCCTCGTATCCTTGCACATGCGACTAGACCCCCACACCGTCTACCACCACGCACCCATGTTCAAAGAAGACAACTTCGACGGCGACCGCATGGAGTGCTTCAACATCGCCGAACTCGATATCGAAAACCCTCACAAGGAGCTAGCGAAATGTCCGCCTGAGGAACAGGTTCGTCGCGCCCGTCTCAGCGCCGCAGAGCGCAAGAGAAGCAAGGGCGACAGTCTAGTAACCGCCATCACTATCCTCGACGGCGTAACCGCGTACCGCCTCGGTGGCTGGGAGGCTCCGCATAGTCGTCCCAGCAACGTGGTGTACGAGCGCGACAGCTATAAAAACAAAGGCGTGCGTACTCGCGTTCTCACGCACGGCTGGGTGTATTGTAGATGGGGCCGTGCGCGCAGTGTGCAAAAACCTGCTGCTGATGCGGAGGTGAATGAGGAGGAGGGGAGGAAGTTACATGGGGATAGTTGGAGGGAGGGCGGCTGGTTGGGGTTCACGGATGTGCGTGGTGTGATGGATTGGTTGGAGGAGGAGAGGGAGGATAATAGGTTGGAGAAGCGGGAGAGGAGGGAGTGGGCGGCGAGGCTGCAGGAGGAGAAGGAGGATATGCTGATGAGTGGGGGTGTGGGTGGTGAGGCAAGTGGACAGGGGAAGGGGAAAGGTCAGTCGACACCAGGTAAGGGCACGAGTGTGGCTGCGGTGAGGGGGGGTGAGGCGGTGGAACAGCCGCGGAGTGGAGTGGAGACGTTAAGTCCAGAGGTGGAACAGATAGGGAGCTCAGAGGCGGAGACGGGGAGTTCGTTGACTCCAGAGTTGGAGACGGGAAGTCCTCAGGTGGACCAGTGAAAGCTGGCGGTGAAAAAGGTGGATAAAGGCAAGGGGAGGGCGGACATGGCAAGTGGGCCCCAGAGTCCTGTGGTTGACTCGCGGAATTTGGACTTGGATCCAGGGTATTCTGATTGAGGCGTGGGGTTTTGATGAATTATGAAAGGGGTGTGAGGTGTACTTTGTAGATTTGTTCTTTTGGAGTTTCTTCGTCTTAGGTTTCCTTGATCCTTACGGTAATATTTCCTTTGGTCTTTATATCAGAGTAATAGTAACTATCCGCGTTCTCCTAGCTCCTCACACATCACCTCCCTACTGCAAATTCACAAACAACCCTCCATCAACCAAAATCTGCGCCCCGTTGACATACCCACTCAACGCACTCCCCAGAAAAACCGCCGGCCCCGCAAGATCCTCCGGAACGCCCGTCCTCCCCAGCGGAATCCTGCCCTCCATATATTTTCTCTTCTCCTCGTTCTCCAAGTCCTTTTCGTTCAGTTGCGTCTTGATGGTGCCCGGTAGTATCGCATTGCATCTGATGCCGTACTTCCCGAGGGCACATGCGGCAGATTGGACCAGCGATGTTATACCGGCTTTGGTGGGGGTGTAGTGGGCTTGTTGGGCGCCGCCGACGAGGGCCGAGATGGAGGATATGCCGATTATGGAGCCGCCGGGGGGCGATTGCGTGGTCATTTGGTGGGCGCCGGCTTGGATGGTGTGGAAGGCGCCGGTTAGGTTTGTGGAGAGGGTTTGGGACCAGAGGTCTGGGGTTATTCTGTGGAGGTGGTTAGATGTGGTAGTCTCAAGTGGTAGGGAGGATACCTACTCTAAAAATTCTTTGAATTCGCAGATTCCTGCGTTGCTTATTACGACGTCTAGACGTCCCCAGCGTTGGACGGCGGCTGCGACTAATGCCTTGCCGGTCTCCGGGTTGCCTACGTCGCCGGGGACTTGGACTAGTCTTTTCGTCACGTCTTCTTTGCTGAGGTTCAGTTTTGTCGCGGCTTCTTCGATGAGGGATTGGTATTGCGAGGCAGACTTTTCGTCGTCAAAGTGGTTTACTGCGACGTTTGCGCCGTGTTCAAGATAGCCTAGGACAATGGCGCGGCCAATGCCTGTGACGCCGCCTGTGATCATCATCGTCTTGCCAGAAAGCAACTGCGATGCCTGTGCAGCTGGTGCAGCTACAGTCGGCGTCCAAAGACTGTTCTCACGTGGGCGCGACATGGCTGGATGAGTCTGTATAGAGTGTGGGGTAGATGGTGAAGGGCGGGGTGGTGTTGAGGTCAAGACGGCAGGAGGAAGAAGGCAAGAACAGATTCAACGCCGCGGAAGCTACGGAGAATGAAGCCATTGTAAGTCCGTAAAGAAGCCACGATACATATGCCGCTATGCGCAATAGGACTCGGTAGGTGGGATGTAGAGGTAGTGCGCGTTCCTCGGACCTTCTCGGTGCATCGTCGCCCCGAAGAATCAAGGGTGCGCGTCTGGACTTCCGGCTGACGCACCCCAATTAAACCCTTTGCGCAGTTTTCCGCCCTACGTAGGTAACTAGGTATCCGCTCGCGTATATACGACAAACCGAAGTGCGCAATACGAGATAGTACCGATATGGTGTATTCCTGGGACGACAAGGAAGCCATTTGCTATCGGCTCTATGTCGAGGAGCGGAGGAGTCTAGAGGAGGTCATTTGTTACTGGGAGATTCGCGGTTTTACACCCAGGTACGTTGGCATATTGCGCATCTTGCAAGATCGCCCTATCGATACCGGGGGCGCGTCATTCAGCATCTTTGCGCCCTGACTCTTGCAACGTACTGACATCAGACCTCCAGCAAACGCGCCTTTCAGACTCAGTTCAAGGTAGTGGGCGCCAACTGCCCACCTCGAATCTCAGCTGACAGGACGACATAGCGATGGGAGTTTCCCAGCAAGCAGAACCCAGCCTACAAGAATTCCGCCCTTGTCGCCCGAGTCCGCGCATTATGGGCGTCGAATTATACGCAAAAGGACATGGTCGATACGCTGCAGGCTGAGGGCTTTCAAATCAACGACCGCGAATTGCTGCGCCTGCGTCTGAGGCTCAAACTGCTGCTTCGTGAGTGCGGGACAAGAGCTAAGAGGACAGATGGACGGGTAAAGAAGACGAAGCCAAAGAAAAAGGCAAAGGTCATGCCTGGTAAAGGCATCGTCAACCAGATAGGGAATGCGATACTGGCCGACTCTTCGAGCGAGGACGGGAGCGACGATGACGACGAGAACGACGAGGAGCCCGAGGCCACGCGACCACAAGATCCTGATCAGTCCGTCGAAGAAGCGCGACCCATAATCCCCGAACCCGATACCGTCGGCCTGAGTCCTGAAGAAGTGCTGCGAAAGCAACTCCGCCAGCAGCAACTTCAAGCCGAGAGCGACGAGAAGTGGCGCACACGGAAGCGGCGACGTAGAACGCGCGGATGGGCTGGGCTTCCAGCAGATGCGCCTGGCGAGCCACCCCGATTTCCGTCCGAGACTACTATCGACGAAGCCAAGGCCTATCTTGAGCTGGACAATAACATGTATCGCCAACTGAGAGAGCGCTTCTCCGACATTTGCAGGGAGCAGGATGTGGCCAAGAAGACTCTTGCGGGCCCAGAGAAGTGGGCGCTCATTGTACAACAGCTCATTCGGGAGAATGTACATTTGACCACCATGTTCCAAGAGGAGCCCGAGGTGATGCAAACCTATGATGCGCTATTTCGACCGAGAAGTCAGAGAGCGCTGGCTTTAGATGTCATCTGCATGGATGTCACGAAGCGCTTACGGACGATGGATACACGCATGTCGCTTGCTGACGCGAAGAACCTACTTGGTCTCAACCCAGAACAGACACGTCAAGTACGAAGCGTATTTGCGGAGAAACTCAAGGCCGTCCACTTTACCAACAAGCACGAGGCGGGCAAGGTACAGTGGGCAGAGCTGAAGCAGGCTTGGATCAACGATTCCGAGTACCTGATCAAAGCACTCGCGGATGGGGAAGAGCATCCAGACTATGCGCAAAAGCTAAAGGCTTTAGATGTCATGGCACGTGATGTGATCAAGAGGCAACAGCAGGAGAAAACTTCGAAGAATCCAAACAAGAAGAAGCAGATTCACCAAGGACCCGGACCTGGACCTGCACCGCCAATCGTAGCTCCACATCCAACGATCCTAAAGCTCCGACATACAAAAGGTGCTACCAGAGAAGGTATACCACAAAATACATTTACGGCTCCAGAACCAGCTCCACATACCGACCTCCAAATCGACCCGTCCCTCCTACTAGCCGCAAGCGACGCCGCCATACACCCCCTATCCGACTACCAACCCCACCACCACTACCAAGACCACCACTACCGCGCAGCACAGCCCGCCCCATACTCCTCCGCCCAACCCATTGTCCCCCAGCAGCAACAACAACAATACTACCCCTCGCTAGGCACCGCCGTCCTCCCCCTCCCCATTTACCTCCGCCTCCACCCCCACTCCTCGATCCTCTTCCCCGTAAAGACCGTCTGGCTCTCCCTCCTGCACACGCCGTCCGTCGTCGAACTGCGCAGCCTGGTTACCCGCGAACACCCCGGTACCCACATCCATAAGCTCGAGGGCCTTATTCAATATCGCGGCGTTGGCAAGGATAAAGACGTCTATGTCAAGGTTACCGATGATGAGGAGTTGTGTGCGTATTTGAGGCATGTAGTGGGTGAGGAGGGAGGCGGTGAGGTTGGAGGGAAACCGACGTTTGTGGCGTTGTTGGCGCCTGGTGGTGGTGGGAGTGGCGAGTTTTGTGGAGGGGGTTAGGTGGGAGGGGGGTGTGAGATGAGATGGATTCGCAGTCAGGGTCCCGGTCGGTAGGAGTGGGAGTGGGAGTTGTAGAGTGTATGCGCCAGATGTGGTTTTCGGTGGTTTTCGACCTACCGCATTTACCTTTCCTGTTCGCCGCGAAAGCGGCAGCGCTGCATTCCAACACATATATTCATGACGATATGCAAATATTCTTCCAGATAGCTGGGAATTGGATATTCTTGCATCGAAAATGTTTGTTGATGATAGGTTTTCTTGCATCTAGATCCCCCCCAAAGAGCTAATGTTGGTGACATTAATGCCTGATCCAACGTATCTTGGGATGCCCCTGTCACAACCACGATTATCCAATCTCACTATAAAAATCTCATCTTGATCCGCTACTTGGGTATATATGCGCGTTGTTTGCCAAAAAAGGACATTCTTTCTTTTCGTTGTCGCTGTGTCACTCTTTTCCATTGTTCTTGTGTGTTGGTAATTCTAATCTTAACGTTTTGTTTGCGCACAACAACGACTACCACACCACATTCACCCGTCCAACGATTCCAACACCACCCAGTCTCTCGTTTATCAAAGTTAGAGTACACAATGTTATCAAACCCCCACACCCAACATGCCAAAACCTGGCCTTGCGTCAACATATCGACAGCACCAACGACACCAACTTTCTCAGCACTGGACTGGGGAGTCGAACCACAAAAACAGCAGAAACACCATAACCCCCGGGTATACCCCACGAAAACTGCGAAAACGGTGATAGAACCACTAGTACACGAAAACCAGATATCCAGCCAACAACAACACCACCAGTACCTTAACAAGCCCGTCGAAGTCACAGGAGAACCACCCCCAACCCAGCAAACCAAAACCCGCAAACGCTCCCTAGCCATCTCCCTCCCCCTCCCCCTCCCCGCTTCCCTCGCCCAACCTCTCTTATCACCCACATCATCCAGCTCCAGCCCCACAAGCCCTTACCACACGCAGGCCCTCAAGATGCTCGCTCATGTCCAGCAGCGCCAGCAGCGCATCCACCAGGATATACGTAACCCACGGCCGGGGAATTTACCTCAGTTGGGCAAGTATGGGTGGAAGAATTTGGAGAGGATGGTTGTGGGGTTTCCGGGGGTTTGGGAGTGGTTGGGTGGTGTGGTTGAGTTTGGGGAAGGGGAGGGGGAAGGGGAGGAAGGAGATGGTGAAGATGAAGAGGGCGGAGAGTCCGATAAGGGGGGTAAACGCGAGGCAGAAGATGCGGAGGAAGAAGAAGAAGAGGGAGAGGGAGATGGTGAGGGGGAAGAGGCGGAGAAGGGGAATACATGGGATTTCGAATAATGGTAATGTTAATGGTAATAATGACGGTGGCAGACGGCGGAATAAAAAATTTGATAAGAGACAATATAGATTAGAACTCCGGATAAGGATAGAATATTTGAATTTTGAGTGTTTACAATCACATTGGACTTATCCATCGGCACTTTGTAGACATTCTGCTGTCCAGGTAGCACAGCTCTTGGAATCATTTTTGGGGAGTGGGTTGAGTGATGTTATTGTAGATATGAAATGATGCTTTTTATGTGATCCAATGTTGTTGTATGGAATTGATTTTACTTTTCTGTGATTGCCCATATGTATCCGGTGTATAAGCTGCGATGTTGAAGTCTTTAGCTATAGTAGTCTGGGAGTGGTGGCTTGGGTGGTTGGTTTTCATGTCTGTGATTGTGTTGTGGTATGAACTTACGTGTTGATTGTGATTACACCACGTAGGCTTTTCAGTCGCGCTTCTCACGTTTCGATATCAAAGGCACAATCTTGTCGTCAAAGAAAGATACAATTTTTTTTCTAGTAGTAATTTTGTCGTCTACCGGTTTGATTACAAAACCCCACCCCGCGATGAGGAGAATCAAGTCGAAAAGCTGAGGTCGGTAGATGTTCGTCAAATCGTCCGATTGATTATTCTTCCGTTTCTCCCCGCAAGACCCCTAGATCCCAACACACGCTTGACAATCGATAGTCCAGTCGCTTGCTCCGTCTATGTGATAAGATGGCATGCTCTCTTGGGAATCAAGAAAGTCCTCCACTGAGACGTTTAAGTAGAGCCATGCTTAATGCACATGCCGTGGCCTTGATCATTCCATGTTCGCCCACCATCATAACCTGTGCAAGTAGCACGGTTGGAGATGTGGTTCAGACCATCGCGGTATGGAATGTTCGTGCGACGATAGGGGAACGCTGGGTTCTGGCAAGCTCCCCAACCATCGGGCCCACCGTTCCATGGAAAGACGGGAATGCACTACTTCTAGTTAGAATGGGTCGATAGGTTTGATCTTCAAGAAAGCACTTACGCAGAGCGAAACGCCATTGTTGTCTTGACACCAGTTGGGCCTCGCTCCGATATAATCACCAGCTACCCAGGCACAGCACCATTCGGCTGCAACAATGTTAATAAATGGTATATAAAGGGGCAGCTGTCGGATCGTGAGTATCGGTAGAGACGTCGGCTGCTTGACACTTCGGCCCGACTTCGGCCCACCTTGCGCAGAGCTTAGGTGTACCTTCGTAGCAGCTATGTTCGTAGACAATGAATACCAATACCAGTCACCAGAAGAACCTCGTTGTTGTTATTCACCCGTACGATCGTACAAGGCCTACCAACAGCAGCTTTACTAAACGTGCCTTCAATCTGTCACGGCTGGGCGATAATTACTTCTGGCATAGGGGCGTATTGAGGTATCGCCTGCACAGAAGCGAGCAGTGCGGCAAATGCGGAGATGGCGTTAAGTCTCATGTTGATGGAGAGATATAGACGAGGTAGTAAGTGTGAAGTTGTGCTGGAGTGACCTGAGTGTAAGATGCGCAAGAGATTTCGGGGTATAAGCACTCTTTTATATGTGCAACCCCCAGGGAATGGATTTCTTTCGTGCGCGCAGGGTTTTCCATTTGTTCCATAGTACCACGATAAATATTCTTGGTGTACCAGTTCAAAGAAGAGGCGAAGGCGTGCAATCTGGATAGGGGTCGGTTGTAGCGGTAATCAGACTTGTCAACAATCAAGCGGCTTGCAAGCGCTTGATTGATAGCTTGATAACTATCAATCCCATCAAGTCAAGCTCGCCTATACTAATTTGTTAGCAATCCAAGCTGAGGAGGGTCAGCTTGATTGTTCGGCTTGATAGGATTGGTTAAGGCGTGGGCCAAGAAGCCTGACTGGCTCGAGGCCAGTAACGCTAGCTTTTAGGCGCTCTGGGCGCAGTACAACACCTCACCGCGCGCGGTAAGGCTGTTGGCAGTGATCCCAAGCGATATAGACGACGCGATCGATAGTATACTCAACCCTAGTACTGTCAGCAGCCTCACCGCCGACAAGGACGAGTTTAAGAGGTGGAAGCGCAGCGAGCCGGCAGCCGAGAGAGGTACAGAACACGCAGATAACTCTATCAAATACTAGGTGAGCATGCGCGATTGCTACCCTAGCCTGATTAAGCTTGCGCTTGACGTACTCTCTATCCCATCGTCAAGCTGTGAGTGTGAACGCCTGTTCAGTGAGCTGGGCGACCCCTTAAAGCCGGCAATACAGTACGTACGACGGTGGCAAAGAGCTGGCCTCGGAGGCGACAACGAGGTGGTGGAGGAGGAGGCAGCAGACGACGACAATATGGAGCTTTTGTGCGGGCTAGCGACTTAGGACGACGACAAAGGCTAGCGCTAGTACAGGCTATCAAGCCTATCAATCAAGCCTCAATCAAGCTCACGATCTCAGCTTGTTAGCCCCAACAATCCAAGTGGGAACCAACATCGCCGTCCAGACACCCTTCTCCGGAACCATTGGCGCTGCTACTTTTGCAGCAAAGACAGCGAAGATACCAGCTATCGCCTTTTCTGGTCGTAGTGGAGACCCAACTGGATTCGATCAGCCCACACCTTTCCACAGCAAGATCTACGCTGATCTCGCCCT